CACAGCTAATTTATTTAGCTCCTTTTTCAGAACTGGGAGCCAAGTCCTGCTTATTGTAGGCCTGTTTACCTTTACCGAATACATCATTTTCTTGACATTGAGTGACTTGAAGCACACGGTGACTCACCGATTGAGGAGCCGTTTTTTTCTCTTCTTTTTTGGAGGGGTGGGGGGGTCCGTCTTCATATCTTCCTTAAGATGACTTCAAACGCCAGTTCTCCGGGGATGTCTGGCTGGTGTCGTTTGGTCCTCGACCTCCTCGCGGTGCCAGGTGTTCCTAATTAGCAGGACGGACCACGGTGCTTTTGCAGGTGCTGCGTTCATGTGCTCCTCGTAAAGTCCCAACTCCCTTTTACTGTTGTTACTACTGTACACTTTTTGGTGTTAATAACCTTTGGTTCAGTGCAACATTGAAGGTACAAACCCAAATGTTCGGTGGGAGTTGAATCACCAGCTCGAAAGAACAACGTAGCAAAAACACAACTTACTCCAAAAAGGGCTTTGAGACTTTATTGAGCTTACGTCACCTCAAATTCGCTAAAATCACACATGATTGTTAAGTGTTGCATTTTTCATCGTGGTAATCGGCCAAATATTGCTTTGTCTCTGTCTCTATAAACTCTAGTCTCGGTCAGTTTAGATTGTCTTAACTGCAAAAACAATGTAGGCCTACAAAACAATCATACACATTGTGGAGAATGTAACTTGAGTCTAGGAGACGCCTCAGCTTTTCATACAAGCTCTTCTGTCCTGTCCCATCTGCTAGTTTTTGTCACTTGTCTCCTCTTTTTGTCAGGGCCTGGGCTGCACGGCGTTTTGCTTCAAACAAAAAGGTATTGCAATATCAGGATTATTACAGCAAATCGTCCATACAGGGAAGTGATGCAACAATTGCCGTCGAACACCGATTTACATCCTTGAATGTCTTTTTACAGGCACGTTTTTGCTTGGGCCTTCGGTATATTACCATCAATGACCACGGGTTCAGGGGGGAGCTGGACCCCTGGTTTACTCCGTCTGCTTACTGAAAGTCTGGATGGAGCCTCTCAGATTACTATCATCAGACAATCCTCATCACAAATATCCTGCAAGAGTCAATTTTAGGAGTGAATGTTTAGAACGTATCACATCTATTTGGCTTTCTTGTGTGTTTGTTTATCTGACTAAAAAGTCTGTTGTCTCTGCATAACATGTGCAACGAACTGAATTGAAGCATAAAAAGTAGTTTTTATTTACATTCTAAGCAGCAATTTATAGTTGGTTTGACCTCTGAGAAAGACTTTAATCAGTTCTGAGTTAGATAACAAGGAAATAAACACATTAATCCACTTGCCATGAGGCCACTTGACCTTTGAGGGGTGTTGAAACCTCCAAGCATCTCGTTGAAAATTCATCAGAAAACAAAAGTTTGTCTCTCGCTCTCTCTCGTATATATACAGTGCATCCGGAAAGTATTCACAGCGCTTCACTTTTTCCACATTTTGTTATGTTACAGCCTTATTCCAAAATGGATTAAATTCATTATTTTCCTCAACATTCTACACACAACAACCCATAATGACAAAGTGAAAACTGTTTTTTGCAATTTTTTGCAAATCTGTTAAAAATAAAGAACGAAAACATAACATGTACATAAGTATTCACAGCCTTTGCCATGACACTCAAAATTTTGCTCAGGTACATACTGTTTCCACTGATCATCCTTGAGATCTTTCTTGTTAAAAATTGCAAACTTATCTGATTACTAATATTCAGTTGGAACAAAACCATTAACACAACATGAAATCTACAAACAATCATCAAAGACAAAAAACAGTTGTCTTAATTGAACATACTTGAACACGATTGCACTCTATATGAACTTCAGTTTCCCCTTGAAATGTCTAAAAACACCACATTATGCTTTTATGAGAAGAAAGGGGGTTTGTTATCTATCACTGTGTAATAAGAATGTGTTAAATTAATAACTGAATGAGTAATCTCATTCTAATGGAAATTGCAACACAATTATAAAATTGCATAAACTGACCGACCAGAGTCAGAAACATCTGGATTAGGGCAGCGTGTGGGATTCCCATGGACAAGCCCCCATGTGGCCCCCACTATCCATCTGACGTGTAAATGAGATTTATGCAAGCAGTACTACTGTGTGAAAGCGGCAAACGGCTGGCTGTAAATGTGATCCACATGTTAGCATATTACATTGCTGTAAAAACAGCGTAGTGCCTGTGGGGAGTAGCTCAGTACCGGATTTGAGAGGGAGCGGGAATGATGGTTTATGAGCTCGGAAAACAATATTAGCATCGCTGTCACAGCGGCTAACAATGTTACTTGTCTCTCAACATAAGAAATCTCCTTCTTATCCCACACAGCTGTCAGCTCTCTTAAAGGTTGTCACGGCGGAAGGTCGGCTCTGACAGTTTGTTTTGCGTTAAGTTTCCTGCGAGTCTTAGCTCAGGGGTTGGTAACCTTTTACTATCTAAAGAGCCATTTTGCCCCATTTTGCACCAAATAAAATTACTAACTATGGAACAATAATAAAGACAGTTCTTGACATGTGTTGTTTTGTTATTACAATATAAAAGGAAAAATAAAATACACTGGAATATGATTGAAAGTCAATTAAACAGAGCTCTATGAAGGCTTTCAATCCTCCCTATATTTAAAGAAATACAATAACAGAGTTTTTATTTAAGTAGGGCTCAAGTTTTTTTCACTGCGCTGGTTTCCTTTCCTTTTTCCTCAGCCACTTACAGCCATCAACAGAACACAAAAGTCTGAGAATAGATGCTTAGATATTTTAATGACCAGTTATTGTCCGTCGCTATGTCCGATTAGATAAGATTTTTGCGAATTTCCTTCCCATAGGCAACAATCACAGGATTTTAGTTTATCATTGCCAGCTTTTAAAACGTTCAAAAAGCACAAAAACAAGCATTCCATGAAGCAATACAACTATTCTTGTAATCTGAATGTGTAATTAAAGAGTGGAGTTTTTACTGTACAAGTTAATCCAGTATGTGACATACAAGGGGTACTCTGACTTAATGAGGGTATAATAGAGAAAAAACAACCTGAACATTGAATAAGAAGCCAACTAGAAAGGAGTGCGGTGAGAAGTGACGGTGCAGAGAGAGAGGGGGCTGGGGAACATCTAGCAAGACGGGAAGGACCGGGGTAATTTGACAGAGTGAGACGTCATATGAGGGCGAGGGATGGGAGAGGGAGCTTGAGGGACAGTCCGTGAGAGGGAGGCTGCAAAATAAGGAGAAACGAGAGAAACCAAAGTCTGACTGTGACAGTGGAGCACTGAGCTCAGCTGATGGTCCTTAATGAAGTCAGGCAGCCGCGGAGGAGGAGGAGGAGAAGGAGGAGGAGGTGGAGGAGCCTGGAGTGACAGGCCGAGTCTCACTCTGACGGTGGGGACACTCACACTCAAACACACACACACACAGCAGAAGACAGCTAAGGTTTTAAGCGTACCGACACTATGATGGACATGCCGGGCCGTGTGTAGCAGAGCACGGAAGGACAGAACCTTGTCAGGATTCTCTGAATACATTACACAGTGAGCATTTTCCCTTCTCACCCTCAACCTCGGAAGATTCATCACCCGGTCCGGGATTGACATTTTTAAATATCATTGTCCCATCGTAATTGTGAGTTGTCTTCCTACAGGTGGCATCACACAGTTTAGTTGATACATATGAAAGGCGGACATTTTGTTACAGGCATGCAAAAGTATTGGGTGTGCACATGTGTCTTGTCTCTGACGTAGTGTCAAAGTTATTTTTGATGTTTCTAGCATTGTTTCAGTAAAATCTTGAAATAGCAGAGAATTTTCCTGAGTGAAGTCATTTTTAGGGGTAGTGCAATGGAGAATTAAAATGTACTCAAGTGAAATAACGATTACACATTTTAAATTCTTATTTTTAATGACAAATGTTAAATTAAGTGAAGAAGTTCCACCTGGATAAAGTTTGCCACTTTTGTGCAAGTTGAAGTCCACCGCTTCCTTCTGTAGGAGGAAAACAGTGTGTTTAGTTCATGTTCTGAATGATCAAAAATATCTTGAGATATTTCAAGGAGGGCAAGATCACCAAGAAGACATTAAAAACAACCACATTTTGTTAGAACACCCACACAACACGACAATCCTGAACCTCTTTGTTCTAAGCTCAAAGCATCAGTATATTCAATCCACTGGAAAGTTACTCTCTGGAAGGAATTCCTGATGTGTCAGAATGTTCCAAAAGTAAAACGAGCTCCCATCCCTTGGTATTGATTGTACTTCAGCATCGTGATACATTTGATCCACAGTGTTAAATAATTCAGTTTGTAACAGTTTAAAGGGGGGCTGTCATGACAACCAAAAATCTGATAGTATGGAGGCAAAACACAATATGGATCACTGACGCCCTTTGAGCGTAAAGGAAAGTTGTATTTGGGGGAAAAAAAAACAATAGCGAGGTCCTACAAGGATAACAAACAAAAAAATGAAGTGAAAAGTAAACAACCTGAACAAGAATAAGAGAATAAAATATGTTATAAAACCAGTGAGCGTAACACCAGTCAGTGTTCGTTGAGGCGACACGACATATGTTTTTATGCACCATATTTCTGTGCTTTTTATAGGACATATTCAAAGCACTAAACATGGGATTCAGATTAGGACATGCTAAGTGATTGAGGGAAATCTACCAAAGAAAATAGGACAGCAGAGCACATCAACGTCTTGGGTTGAGGTCAGAAGTGGTGTTGTAAATGCAAGATTTACAACCTGTGGATGTTTATTTGATACTATTTAAAGGTGCATGAGGATACATGACAGCAGGTGGCAGCAAACCACTTAGCATCCCAGCAATTGAGGAATACAAAAAAGGAAGATGTTTTGGATTTCAGTATAAACTATTTATTTTTTGTAGTTTATTTACAAAAAATTCAAGATCAGTATGTTTGTATTCGAAAACATTATCTTAAATATAAAAGCGTGACACATGGATGCTTAAATAAAAGTTTATTTAACAATTATTAATCAATACAAATGCAAAAACTATTCAAAAATCACAGAATTGTACAAACCATGTTTCCAATCTAATGCGACCATGACATAGAAAAATACAAAAGGCACTGTGCATTAGAGTCTGCTGCATATATTAAACAGTTATTAACAAAATGTAGACACTACTCAGATTCACAACCGTATCAATAATCCCTCTCAAAACAATTACAAATGCTCATCCATCCCTAGATGACAATTTATTCATAAGAAACATGAGAGGGAACTGCATAATTGATTAAAAAAATAAACAAATCAAATTAAGCCTACTGATCAGCGTGTTAAAGAAAAACAAATAGAAACACAGTTCAAAGACAAAAACAAACTGTTCAGGGAGTGTGAGGATGTGCATGTAAGTAAAGTGGGATATCCTTCGAGGTTACCATGCCACATACCTACCAACAATCAATCTATTAGCATATGTACCTTCATAGGCCCTGGTCAGAGATATGAGATCTACTCTGAGTTAAAGTTTTGTCAAGAGCGAGGCAGAAGAAATCCCTGTAGGTCTAATTTGCAAAGGTCAATAAAGCTCTTGTACCAACAAGAAGAGGGTTTCTCTGCCGTTTCTTTCCTTTGACAAAGTCTCATCAGGCAAAAGAAAGAAACCTGAGGGCCTCCCAGAACTTCGTATGCACACGGATCCTTGGGATCCAAAAGGCCGATCAACAGGTTGCATTACTTTACAAAATCTACCAAAGAATGTTAAAGGAACCTTTTGTTTTTCCTTCAACACCAACTGAGAGCTTAGTCTACCATGTGACAAAGAGAGGCAGACCCCTTGTAACATTAAACCTGCAGGCTCGAAATCAGCAAATAAAAGCGTTTCACGAAATAAAACGTAGAATCTCTTGATTGGAAAAGCGGCTTCTAGTGACACATTCTTTACGAACCCAACCCCCTTTTGCTTTTCAACGCCAGCAGTCCAAACAGCAACATTCTTTCGCCTCTGTACCTCTGCGGTACTGTGCAAGTTCACTATTCATTCAAAGCGTTTAGTTGTTCATACCAAAACTGAACGATAGCTATTAAGGACACCTGCCATTCTTTTAGCAATCTCTTTGGCATCCAGTTTCATGTCCGACTTTCTGTGTGACAAGTATACATGATAATACACATCCCAGTCAGAAGGAGTCAAACTGTAGCAGTCGTAGTGCATAGCAATTATTTTTGGATTGCACAAGGTCGATTGACGAGGCCGGCACCTAAAATCATAGGAAACCATGCTCATCGAGTCCTTTTGAAGTAACCATGTTCCACTTTGCAGTAGTCTTTGTGGTAGGATAGCCTGCGAGACAAAAGCCAGGGCAGAGATTAATCAGAACATTCACAAAAGGCGTTGAAAAGAAGTTACTCAAACAATAATAATATCGTTACCTAATTCCGATCTGCTTTTGATAAGCTGCGGGGGTTGAACGTCTGACAAAGGCAGCCTCCCTTCCACATCGCTCTCCCCCGAGGACGTGTGGTCGTCGGCCTTCACGTGGGCGCCGGGTCTCTTATGGTATTTGGCCCTGTAAGTGTCCGTCATACAGCTATCCACCGAAAAGTAAGTGGTGGGAAAAGCCACATCGGTCTGAGCGGGGGAGCCCGTGCCGTCGCGGGGCCCCGGGTCCGGACCGGGCAACCTCTCGTCGCTCTCGCTGGCCGACAGGTCGTTCCGGTCCTGATCCGACGACCCCGACCTGGAGCTGGCATCCGACGAAAGCCTGTGCTCGGCGGGAGCTTCGATCCACCGACGGAGGGCGGTGTGCGACAGCGGGGACGAGTCGCTTTTGGGCCCGTAGCGGGGGCTCAACCGCGCCGGCACTTCCGGCGGTCGGGAGTGGACGGCCGACGCGTCGGCGTGACCGCCGCCGAAGGTCTTTGGGGGCAGAGGCGGGGGGCGGTTGTGCGTGAAAGGGTCTAGGCGGGCCGCGGTGCCGGCCTCGTCTTGTTCGGAGAAGGGCCCGGCGAGGTCGTCCGAGCTGTTCCACTCGGAGCTGCTGGTCTTTGCGAAGTAGCCAGGGACGGGGCTCACGGGGCTCCCGTCCCCGTCGTCCTCCGGTTCGCTGTCCGGACCGTTGTTCCTTTCCAAAATCCCAGGAGTGTATCGGAAGGCGCGTCTTCTGTAGGAGGGGGAAAAAAAAAAAAAACTGTACTTAACTTGCCGCTGTTCCAAATCAACAGACGACTGGCAGTATTCTTCCACAGCCCTTCTCTTACCTTTGTATTGGCTGACCAGACAGGATGTCTCCGTCTCGTAGATCTGGAGATCGTCTTTCTTGTTCACCTAAACAATGACCAAGCCTCATGAGCACTTGCTATCACAACACACTCATTTGGAAAGCCATGGACATCACTAGCAGATGGTCCAAAAAAAATAGAACATCTGCCATTGGTATTTATATTTGAACAAAGCTAGAGTACTTTTTTTGTGTCCTGCGTCCATGTTATCTAACAGAGGTCATGGTGAGGCCTTTTGCCTGGTGCTGTGAGAGGAAGTATCAAAGCAGCGAGTCTGGCAGAGCGCCCTCGGGCCCCCTGTGTACCACTCCGACTGTCTGAGCCAGCCAAAGAACGTGGCCCCTCAAAGGGAATTTGGGTTCACATCCAGCTGGCTTTGAGCGAACAGCGCTAATAAAACAAAGAGGACCCTGAATGAACTCGCGCAGATTTAGAAGTTGGATCATAGGCGTGCTAATGAAAACAAGAATAATTCCATTGAATCGCTGATGTCAAGAACAGTGATATCAGCGAATTATGCCGCGATCAGTTTGATTTCAGCCATTAGAGCAGCAGGAGCACATGTTTAGAAACAGCCCCCCCCCCCCAGGTGCAGGCCGAGGTGTGGAGCTTAACCAAGTTAGCGGGGTGGGTGTGATCCACAAGGCCTGTGACAGACAACAGCTGACTAGCAGGACAAGGAAGAGAGCGAGTGGCTGAAGACCATCTGTGATGTGTCAGCGTACCTTCTCCCCCGCCGCCACACTCCTTCTCTCCAGTGCTTTCTCAAAGCATTAGTGGCTAAACCCTTTGTGCTGGCATGCAATTACACCAGGGTCAGACTCCAGACTCCAGATCCCCTCCACAACACCATTCCATTTTTTAAGCCGCTAAGTCCATGTGGAAATTCACAATTTGATGACGCTGATCTGCAATGTTGGCAAGCAATTGCAACATCATTCTCAAAAAAAAAAGGAGGAAACGCAGTTTACAATGGGGTTTTCATTCCCCCTCTCCCAAAAATCCTCTCACCCTTATGGTGACATCACCGTGGACAAAAGAAAACTTTTAAATAATCGCTTTAATCACAAATCACTTCTTTAGGTCCTCGGGTCCGGCTCGTCACAAGGATACGTTCATCTCGGTGGAATTTGAGGATCTCTGCCAGAGAGTCGGATGTACTCAAGGTGTTCTGATGTTTACGGGGCCGACTGCACTCGCCCGGGAAGCCGTCCACGTGCTGTGGTTGCATGGATTAGGCTACGGCTCAGTAGCATTCAATGAACTATTGGAACTTTGCCAAAATGGTGTGCGACAACTTCTTCCAATCGCATGTTAAATTGAAAGCAAGTAACTTACTGGGATGAATGAAAGTGGAGAATAGCCTCATATTTTTAAAAGCCTCAATAATGTGTGAGCTTTGACATATTAAGAGCCACACCGTGCGAGCGCTACTATATACTCGGATAAATATTTCAACATGAAGCATAACTGGGAAAAGTTCAAGAGAGGATCCGTTTTGGGGGCTGCGGTTACCCACCAAACGTTTTGGGGACTATTAACTGACGGGAACACATTCTGTGATCTGACATCACTTCAATTACCGCCAGAGTGTGAAACTCCTCGAACAAATAGGAAATGGGCCTCTGCACAGACCATGAAAGCAAATCTAAACTAGTTTTTGAAAAAATTGAACATGCATAAATTCCTGACAGCCCTTTGAAGTTTTGTTGATGAGACAAAAAAAAAAGAAAACTTCTACACATTTCAGTTCTAAGGCTGTCAGGTTGAGATTTGTAGTTCTGCTGTCTGGGGTACTTAAAAATCAGTCAGACTCACAGGCGTTTTTGCAGTGCAGTTTTTCATCGAGTCCCGAGCCATGTGGGGAAGAGAAATTATGCCCGGGGAAAAAGTTTTCAACTATTTTATCGGTCAGAATCACTCTGTGGTGGTATAGCACAGGCTTTAGATCACTATGCCCAATGCAGTGAAGACATGCGCTCATTCGCTGTCTCATCACGCCAACCCAACCTGCAGAAGATGTATGCAAAAATACACCATGCACGGCGTCTCCATGAAGGGTAATACTCACCATTACTCCTTTTGATCTATTTCTGAACTTGTTTTACAAGCATTGTTTCAGCTAGAATATATATATATATATATATATATATGGCTGCCATATCTCTTCATGTAATCATCATTATCTAATAGATTATAATAGAAGTCTTAGTTTAAGATAAACCATCCTGCACTGCGACCAACTGTGCCAACTTGAGACACTTAAGATAATCTTCTCAAATCTTCCTGATCAAAGACGAGGCCTAAAGCAGGGGCAAAGGTGAAATGGTAAAACCATTCAGTGGGTCTCAAACTAAAATTTAAAAACCTCAGTAGAAAATGAATGAATCGATTATGAAAAGCTACAGACGAGCCGTTCGGATTCAAATTTCCGTTAACCAAAACTCAATAAGAAAATGGGTGTTCACAGGCCGAGGAAACTAAGCATTTATGTTGGTTTCCCCAACTCACCGCACTTGTGTGAACGCTATTTCCAACTCCAAATAAAACTGAGGGAAGATGAATTCTAGCAGTTTTTTCTAAGCCGCATTTCATAACTCTTTGGGACCTTGAAATAACCGCAGCGCTACTAAATGGCATTTTCATTGCCTCATGTTTGAATAGCCTCTTCTGACAGGCCCAGCCATGTCATTTTCTGCCCGGCCGGGCACAGCTGGGAGGCCCCTGCAAGCTCTCTCATCTTCCCATCTTATTCTGGATTATCTCAGCATGTTCGTGTTGAGGGAATTAGTAGGGCATTTCTTTAAGATACTCATTTAAAAGTATATTTTCCTCCCTCTTCTCTCTGCATCACAGGGAAGCATGAGCTGGATAAAGAATGTGAGGGGCGTCCAGGCGACCAAGCCCCTAGTGCGTTCATCATTTCATACTAATTTCTTTCCCCAAAATGGAAGGGAGAGGAAGGACAGACGACCTGACACAAACCACATTTTCCATCAATAATGTCCAAAGGGGTGATGTCTCTTTGAAGCCGATGCACACTTCTGTGTGTGTGCTGCATTACATAAACTTTACTCAGGACAAAAAGGTCAAGGCCAGTCAGCGAGGAACCAGAGCACCTATTTCCATACAGTATCCCAGTATCAATCAGGCTGTGACCTTACACTACTGATGGAACAATAAATCAAGGAAATTGCTGAGTACTATCTTAATGATTCAGATCCTTACAACAGTGACTCTGACTGGGCACAGGGAATGTCTTTAATGTCACGGCCAAGCCATTGTGAGGAACTGATTTCACGTGTGGCTTATCTCGACGTCACGCACCTAAAAACTATTTCTCTTCTGGATTCATGTGTGTAAATTGCCAAAGGATGGCTAAACATTCAACATTTCTTTTTTTTTACCTAAATGTAGACATATCTTCTTTACAGCTGTATGTCTCAAATGTTAGCTCTCTGATGATGTCACAGCAATATACAGAATAACCTGCAGCGTTAAACCAACCAAGTGTGGAATAAGGCGTGGAGTAAGTGTGAGAATCACTTACCAGTGGAGTTTGTGGAGTGCAATAAGTCAGCATACAAATCATCACTTCGTCTCTGAGGGATGTGATCCCTAAAATACAAAATAAATTCAGGTATTTATTTATTTATCAGGTGGTGCGATCTGATGCAGTATTGTTTTTGTCGACGTAAAAGGAAATGTCTTATTTTCTAAATGGATTCCTTGTGTTTTTATCCCTAATTGTTACCGCTTACTGTGGGGTATGTACAGATCCATGTATAACCATTTTTGTTCTCATAAATGTCTAAAAACCTAATGAAACTGGTTGGAAGAAGAAAACCAAAAAAGTCACGCCATATTACCAAAATAAAACGCAAATCTCATACATTTCTAGCTTCTTCAGGCCTAAACAGAGTCACGGAACTAAAGGAACAATCTAGTGTGAAGCAATGGGCTTGAATAATTGACTTGCGGTTGAGCGAGTCATTTATCTGCTGGCTCTCCCCTTCTGGGTGCGGGAGATGTCAGCTAGTTTGGATCATTATCTCCAAACACCACCTGGACTACAAAGCCATCAAATGACAGCAAAGTAGAACAGGGCGGGCCCATCTGCCTCGCGTTCATGTTAAACGGCTCCTGCTATTCTTAGAACGGTTTGTTTGTAATGTTTAATCATTTAATGACGGCATCACTTTTCAGCCACAAATCAAGCTAAATGAGTAGTGCATGTGTGGGATGAGAGAGAGCACGGACACTTGTATCACGAATACGGATCCGGCTGACGGAAACTCCAAGTCCAAGTTCTCACCTCGTGAGTTGCAGCTCAGGAATGGTCCGCAGGTCTTTGGAAGAAAGGTTGTCCACCACAGGGGAGTCGAGGCTTGCCGAGCCGTTGCTGAGTCTGTCGCTACTCTCGTATCCGGACTCAGCCCGCTGGATCTTCCAGTTGTCGTTCCTCACTTTCGGAACCGCCGAGCCCTTGGGCCGGTCCTTGTCGCTGTGGCGGCCGTCCGAGTCCAGCGAGCTTCGGCTGCCGCCCGTTTCGTGCCGCTGCTCGTCCTCGTAGATGGTCATGAGGCTCTTCGGCTGGCGCTCTTCTCGGCCTGCCCACGAGGACTCGCGCTCCCGGTCTCGGGAGGGCGACTGGCTGCTGGGTCTCCTCCGCGCGGGGCTCTGCTGCCGTCGCTCCTGACCGGCCGGGTGGACGCCGCTTAAAACGCTGTCCACGTTTAACGCCTCGCGCACGGGCTTCCAGGGGCGGTCGGGCCTGCTGCGGTGGTTCCCTCTGCTCATGGGACGTTCCCTGGAGTCTTGGCTGCTGTCAGTGTCGTATCCGTTGGGGACTTGGTCTATTCTCCGGCTGTGATGACCACTACTGACGGGCACGGTGTGCAACGCCTGGACCCTCGAGTGGGCGCGAGGGGGGTCGTGGGAGGACCTCCCGCCAAGGTGGGGTGTTCGCTCTGTCCGCGTGGGACCTTTTCCTTGGCTGCTGTACAGACGGGGTTCCACGTGTTGTTTGAAGCCATTCTCTGGAGGGGAGACGGAGCGGGAGTAGGTCCTGTCCTGACCGGGATCTGGTTATGAACAAAAGGAACATTAAAACACATTCAAAATAGCTTGTTTGAATTTCAACATTAGAAATATAATAAATGTACTGCATACAAGTAAAAGAAAAGTTCTTATCCATCTATAACCTACAGCCAAAAGAGCGTGTCATGAATAATGATGCCAAGACCAAAAATGGACTTTCACTGACACCTTGACACAAAGCTGTTCTAAAGCACAGTGCAAGTTGGCCCGAAAGAAGGAGACGGGCATGACGACAACTGGGCTGCTGACATTTATGTGCGCGGATGACAAGAAGGTGAGAATTACAGCCGACAGGAGTCCGTTTTCTTCTTGTAAACAGAGGGTAACCAGGTCAGCTACAGACGTGTTTTTGGAATGGACCAATGACATGTCTGTGAGTCACACAATACGTCTGCCATGCCAAGGACCCTTCCAGCCATAATAGCCACTTTCAGAATACGGCATGGAAAATGCAGCCATTTATTGAAGACATTTTCATGGCTTCAAGCTGACAGAGGCTGCAAGCACCATGTAAATGACCTGAAGCGCGTCACGTTTAAAAGGAACAAAGAATGAATTTAATACTTCATATAAATGTCACTCAAGAAATATAGTCGCTATTGCTTTGGATTTTGCTGAGCTCAGCTCGAGTTATATCCCTTCAAATATATAGCTCTCTACGCATTGGCTTGCGTTTATGAAAGGTTCACGTTGAAAGAACATTTCACAAATACCTTGGGGTTACCCCACAGTACAAAGCTTTCATTGAGTTATTCGTCTTTTTTTTCTCTGGAAAATACATTTTAGCAAAGTGCCGGGGCACGAACACGGCTGCTGTAAATTCATACTACTTACATTAAATGTACCTTCACCTCCAGCCTCGCCATCCGTCACGGCAGAGACACTAGCCTCCTTAAGCCGACTGCATTCAATCATAACGGGACGTGAGCTTGCTGCTAACACACGCTACTGTTGTTGACATGGAGGATTTGGAGTGCGTGTTTTAATTGTGCTGCATAATCCCTTCACTGATGCTTAATCGAAAGCGGCGATGTACCAAAAGAGTATTAAAGTAGTAAACCAATCAGCCGACTGATTGGAAGCAACACACAATGTGCTGACCTGCAAACTATGAGCGGTGAAAAGGTGACAATGGGGGGGGGGGGGTTGAAAGTTGTTATATTTGTCCATAGTTGGGGAGGGGGGGGCTCTTGTGGGGTTTGTGAAGGCGCCTGATTTGGCGAGAAAGCCGCCTACTTGGCAACACTGATTTGGAGTGAAAGGAGGGGAAATGGGATGAGATCTCACCGCTGATTGGCCAAGGCTCGTAACGTCACATCTGGCCGGCCAGTTGGCCCCTTCACATTGACACAATTTACTTGGGTGACCTATTTTGATTTCAAAAGGTGAATTTTGCCAAAAAGTAACACATTTGCGGTTCTGAATGTGTGAGGTAAATGGGTCACGGCCTTATTGTGGCGGAAATGTACCTGTATTTTTTTTAAATTCACCCTCCAAATAAATCATAGTATGAGATCTACCTTTTAAAGTATTCGCAAATGTAAATCTTCCCTCAGACCACACAGATTAAAACCAATGGCTCTGAATATTAGAGAGTGGGATGAAGGCAGGCTCAAACAGACGTCAGTGGTTAATCCCCTTCCCGACACATTGCTCCCGGACCGACGGTTACATAAGGGCCGGGGGAAGTGGATGGCTGGCCCTTTGTATCTTAAAGCCTGGCGGTTGTCATGTGTGCACAGTCCACATCGATAAATCCGCACACCATCTTTGGGAGACCAACCTCTGTGGCGTAACTCCGGCCTCCGATGGCCGCTCTTATCAGGCTCTCTTCTGGACGGAAGCATCCCACGCGCCGCTCCTGATCTCTGGGCGACCTCTCGAAAAATATCCCTCGGGCGACTCTTGGGATCGCCACTGCCGATTTTCACTTCAAAAGAAAGAGAGAGAAGACAGGCAAAACCATGAAGAATTTGGCACAATTTTCTTAATGGACGGACACAGGATTTTTTTTTTTCTTTCTTCAATGTCACTTGAAACTCTTCTTAATCACAAGGTGATTATCCCCACTGCAGACACCATGAAATGATTTGCATTTGCGACTAATCTATTATCAACATATTGTCTGCCGTGTCACTCGTTTCTACTTTTCCGTCCCCAGCACCCCCGAGGCACCGACCAATTGGAGGGTGTGTGGACAAATGCAAAAACTTCACAGCACACCATTGTGTCGATGTATACGGTGCATTTCTTGGCACATGAGGGCAAAGGCAGCGAGGTGGAAACATCCCTGCTCTGTCTCTCTCAGACTTTTAATGGCGAGTCATGGCAGTGGAAAACAGGATCACACTGTGGTTCTGCTAGCTGTCTCAGAGTTTCACAGGAATTTCTGTCAAGAGAACATTTAAAAAAAGAAAGAAAACCACTAAAACCTGACTACATTTTTGAGACTCACCACAGTTAAAACTGAAAATTACATTTGTGTAATAGTTCACATGATGAACCGTAGTTGAATAATAACTACAGATTTGACTTGTTATCCTGGAATCTTAGAGCAACTATGGAAAGAACGCCGTTTCATTGTCTTTCCAGTACGGCCATTTACTCTTCTTTTTTTTTTATCCCTACTTAATTTGTGTGTGTGTCTGTGTGACCGGTCTCCTCAATGAGGGTCCCTAATCCCCTCTGTAGATCCAACATGGCCACATTTAGTTCAACAGCAAAGACATTTAGTCATCTCTTCAGGTTGCAACGCCAAATCTGTGTGCACCATCAGTGGCCAAAAATGTTTACAAATCAAGCAGTCTTTCAAGGCTAAAAACTATAATGGCTTTTAAAAAAAATGTTTTTATTGTAAATGCATTTAGTTGAAAGACACTCCATTTCAGCAAGTCCACATTCTGTGTTGAATCCCTAGCTATGATAAGGCTTATACTTGCTGGTAATGTTAAGAATTATCTTAAGAAAGGAAAAAGAAACCGGATTAAATTACATGTTAAAATAGAAACTTGTGCAACGTGTTCCCTCGCGGCTTAAGTTACGCATGTCCTTTCTTTCTCTCTTCGCAGTCTTAACACTCACATCTCGGTCACATTTCCCCTCCTACCTGGTCCCCGTTCTCCACCGGTCTGACCGCTGCCCTTGCTGAGGGTCGAAGGGGTCTTCTTTTTCAAAGGGATTTGGCCCAACAGAGTGTTCAGATTCTCCCTTGTGAGGTCCAGCTTCTTGACGGCTACAACTGGAGACTCGAAGCCTGTGGAGGAGGGGGGGGGGGGGGCATTAGCATTTCATGTCCAGGTTATGCCATACATGCAAAGATTTCCTCGTTATTAAAGTCTTAGGATATTAGGATGCAAATTTAAAAATCAACAAATACACAAGACAGCAACGGACAGTAAAATAAAAAATCCAGGCGAAATTCTCTAGTTTATGCAAGATCATCCAGTTTGGTCCGGCGCCCTGTCTGCTCTGATGGGCAGTGAGCGGCTGCCACAGCTTGAACCTGGGTCAGAGCCAGCATGCAGAGTTGGAGGAGGATCTTTAAAAGGGGATAAAAACCTACCCAACCAAACAAATCCAGGGACATATAATCCCAACAGCAGAGATACTCAGCGGCCATCAACACATTTTCATTACTGTCTGCAAAGTATGATCTGGGATTTTAGACTTCCTACAAAGAGTTGTCTTTTTGTCTGCTGATGCTTCTCTCAATCAGATTTCCATTGAAAGGGATTTGTGTGGGCGGCAGTGGATTCTAAGCTCAAAAGGAACCGCTAAAAGAAGCCATATCATGCTCAAATTCTCGTTTGTATTTGCATTTAGGGTTTCTACTTAGATTAAATAAAAATTAAATCAGTTTTTTCTCATACCGTGAACATACACCACATTCTAGCCAAATAAATAATCTAAATTTACCATTTTAATTGAATTCCTGGCATTTTAACAGACTGTCATTGTATGATGATCGTCTACAGGTAGGAGAACAGCATCGGATCTCCCTCTGTATTTACAGCACCAATATCATCACATTGTCTGGTCTTATTTTGCCGTTTCTGGGTTGTGCACTCAAAAAGTCTGCTTTAATTATATGGCCGCTTTAAAAAACACCAGCTTTTTTTAATTTTTTTAATTTTTTTTACATAAGTTAACATAAAAACATGTGCCTTTATAAATATCCAACTGTAAAATGGCATTTGTTCTTTGTCAAACTCTTAACACAAACTGTTTTCAGAGGGATATGAGCTTTTTTCTTCCACGCAGAGTTCTATTCGTACGACTATAAATAAAAAGCAAGGGAGGTAGCTGTCGTGCTAAGCTGAATATTAACGGGGCTTTTACAGTATGGCACTATAATCAAATAGGTCATTTGGGACAGGATTATGGTTAAAGCAAAGAATAACACTAAACAGCAATAACAAGGGTAAATGCATCCCAAAGGATCTTGATGTTGTCATTTTCATTAAAAGGAGAATAAAAAAAGGATAATAAATTAAGACCTCATCCTCCTCTTAAATGTTGTCAACACTAACTGACTTATTTATTAGGGCCCTTATTCCAGTAGTCATAATAGTAACTGCAAACCATTGCCGTTCTATTAACGGATGTAGACAGGTCATACCTTGCATTTCTCCATTGACAGAGGCCTTGTAATGAGGCTGGCCACTGTTTTGGCTTGAGGCATCATCTGCGGCGATAGCACTCCCATCTGGGTTGGCGTAAAAGAGGAGCAGAGGCTGGAAGTGACCTCTGATGCATTTGGTGACCACGTCTTTCCACCTGGAGCCAATCTAAAGCAGGAGACGAAGGAAAGGCGGTCAATGCACCAGCAGATGGGAGCACATTGGACGTTGTAGTTCTGCACCATCATTTTGGATAATACACAATGAAACTAATGTTGAAAAAGAGTGATTTCACTGTGAAAATAATCAATGTAATCGTGTCCATAAAGATTCATTGGCCAACGTTAAAACAAAACCTCACTGTTATTGTGCACCGTCTAATTTGTGAGTAAATGCATCACACTGAGGTCAAATAGCCCAATCAGATTAGCTAAGCTGTGTAAGGTGCGTGTCTCACCTCAATGGCAGGCTGCAGGCTAACAGATGCTTGTGCGCTCCTTAATTAAACTCGTGTGTGTGCGTGTGTGTGTGTGTGGGGAGGGGGGTTGATAAAGAGAAGGAATTCTGCAAAGACAGCTATAATTAAAAAAAATAGAGACCCTTGATGTGAACGCTTTCTGTATCGGAAAAGACATAAAAACCACAGCCATGCTGAGAGCACCACGAGGCTCTAACGATCTTTGCACCTACTTGTCGGAATGTTGTATTGGCTACATAAACTTCATCTGCAGCTACAACACAACCTCTAACCCATGCCATTAGCTTCAAAAGAATACTGATGCAGCAATTTTAAATGGCAACACCTGTGTTTAAGAACGGAGACTTCTCCTGAAGCTTCCTCCATATTTAACACATAAGGGATGTTTTACGTACTGGAAAAGCAACGATTAGGCCACACCACTGGAGCCATTTAGTGGCTGGGATTTGGGGAGTGACAGAAATGCTGGCAAGTGACGACCCAGGTACCGACTTGGCAGGCGCCGAGCACTGTAGCTTCTCCATCCCCAGTCGGTGGGCGGGGGCTGCACACGCAGCACAAGCTGCTGATGGATTGACACGGAGCCAGCCAGCCAGCCAGCCAGCCGCTGCACCACAGTCCCCGAGAAAATTGTGAGGATGTGAAACAAAAGAATTCACAGCCCACATGCCGGGTGTACGAGCACGCGCGCACGACACGGCAACGCACACCTGTTTTTCCACGGACAGGCAGCGTGCACATCGACGCCGAGCAACTGCACGTTCTCAATGACCCCTCAACTTTAACCAGCGAATGGATCCATAAAATAATCTTTACTCGTTATGCTTCACTTCTTTACTGCAGTACTTTGTGATGACAGAGTTGGGGAACTGCAGCAGAACTGTGGAGGGCGGAAGTGTGGAAGGGTGGGTGGGGGGTGGAGGGGGTAGCTGGCTCTTCAGTGCCATAAAGGCTCAGCAAACCAGAGGCTCATGAAGGGCAATCGATGTGGCCTTTATTGGGAGATAAAGTGACTTGGTGATGGAGATTGTAGACTGAACATCGCTACTCGATGCTACGGCTTTTAAAATAAGAGCTGCGTTAAACTAAAAAGTGGAACGTGTTCATAAAAAAAAAAAAAAGTTTCCCGACATTTCTGTGCTCCACTTGTACAAGGAGGACCTGAGAAAACTAAACTAGGAAGGATTTTGTACCAAGATACAACGTTTCAACATAATAAGCGTGACGTCGACATCTTAAAATTAATCTAAGCTTTTTTGTAAGAGTTTTATGAAAGCTTTTTGTGAGTTTTAGCTCATATTAATCTGCGTAGTGCCAACTTTTTTGTCCGTAAAAGATTAACCAATTTAGAATTATATAAAAGAAAGATCTTTATGGAAGGTTGAAACAGAAAATGTATTGGCATGATCAATTGATCACCAAAATACGTATAATTCAGGCAGCGGGGCGCACACTCTCACCTCTTTCACAGTGGCATCGTCGAAGAAGACCCATTTGGAGGACTTGGTGTGGAAGGCAAAGGCACAGTAGTGACGGCTCGTGTAGCAGATCATCCCCACCAGCATCAGCTCGCCCTTTTTGGCATGCTCATCTGTCACCCTGTAGAAGAGCTGTGTCCTCACACAGACACAAGTAGTGTATGATTAATTATATTCATGTACATTAATTAATCACCGGCATCAACACTATGGTAAATGGACATGCGAGTGAGGAATGTTGTTAGCTAGTTCAATCAGTTAATCCATCGGTTTATAAATTACGACCTGAAATCGATGAACCGGCATGGATTTGAAAATCAGTACAAATAAGGGCCGCCCTCGTAGGCCTTGATATCTAGACTAATTCTACAGTGTTCCACTGTAGTGTTCTTATTAAATGGCATGAATATCAACATACCGTTGTAATTCCATTTTTTCATAAATGGTTTAAAAAATATGAGCAGAGCAAAATGATTCGGTACAAGGTTGAAGCATACTAGAAATACATACAGAGAAAGTGTTGCTTGTCTCTCCCGCCCCATGTTCCCAGCACAACCAGTTCTCAGTCTCACTCTCTCAAACAATACATTTCAAAGTAAACAATAGGGGCGGAGGCCTCCCGTTCACACCCAATGAGGTGATAGGAAACATTGCTCAATGAATTAAAGCCTTTGTGGCACACTAGTGGGTGGTGGGGAGGAGTGAGGGGGCGCCCTGACAGATTCTTCTGTTGGTATGCAGCAAGACGACGCTGTCAAATAAACGGGTTGAATCCTCCAAAAGTTTCGCGATGCGTGAAGCGTATGTTCACCCAACACATTTTACCCGTGTGCATAGAATTATTGCCCAATAGTGGTGGGCCAATTTTTTTTGCATACATATTTCATTTGAACACTGCAGACAACCCAGTCGTATTCATGCGTGTCAAGATGGGCCTTTGGGGACAGACCAGGTTACGTCGGCCCACACTTGTGCATAGTGATGATTAAAAATGTGTGGGTATAAACACTGCAACAAAGGCAGCGTTGAACACGCGTTTCGTTCCCGTCTCAATGACGTCTGTTCAGCCCATGTGTTGCCCTCAGACAGGCCTGCACAAACACGCTCAGGCAAACATGAGAGGGAGCGGCTCTCTCCGACAAGCTGACCAAGGCCAGCGTGGGCTTTTTGATCAGTGGCGCCGGCCAACTGGGTGTCGACTGCTTACGCAACGGCCCCGACTCAGAGAAATAAATCCCCACTTCATTTCCCACATATGTCCTACTGCACAAAAATAAACTGAGCCTTAAACTTAAAAGAATACAGAAAAATCAAAAATAGCAGCTGTGTAAGGGAAGACATTCCCAAAATGATTCTGACAAACTTTCCCATATCTGTGATTTTACATCCTGTTGTATAATTCATTACTTGATCTGAAAAGATCAGTGAGATGAAATGGTTGAGCTGTGTGTCAAAAAAAAAAACACCAAAGCGAAAAATGTAGATGAAATGTTGGTGAAAGAGCACTCACAGCAGAGAGACTGAGATGAGGCCCCAGCGAGCGGATAACTTCTTCTGTGAGGTCCGACTGGTCCGAGTCCCAGACGAAACCTATGGTAACGATCTCTGGGGAGTTCATGAGGACCCGTCTGATCTTAATCCTCTGGCCGCAGTTGCTCTGGAGAAGAAGGACAAACAAACAAGTATATATGAGAAGCCCCCCACATTCCAAGAACGACGGAACGATGTCGCCGTACACAGATGCAACAACAGCGATGTGTTTGATGAAACAGTTTGTACGAGTTACTTACTGGACAGTTTCGTAGGTCCCCTATCGTGTTCGCCGCTTGTAACAGTTCCCCGAATGACTCGTCTTTGCGCTGAAGTGGCTGTTGACTGAAAAAGGGGAGACGTGTCGTCAGCAGAAGGACAGTGGGAAAAAAAAAAAAAAAAAAAGAGCAAGAAGAGGGAGAGAAAAATGAAGATGAAGGCACATGGAGAGGAGCCGCGTGTGGAGCGTCAGCGAAAAATAAATAAAAGTTACGGCCCGGTGGAAATGTGCAGAGAGCTCTATGACAGGTGAAAACAGAGTGCAGCCGGACAGAGCACGACGGGGGAGGCAAAGAAAGTTGTGTGCGGCCTGTGTCTTACCAGAGTGCGGTGGTGGAGACATAATGCACCAGCTCTGTAAACGGAAGCGGGTCGGAGGATGCCCCGCAGCTACGACACACAGACTGCAGAGCGGAGAGGGGGAAAGAAAACACCGATGGGACTTCAGCACACGTTTATGCTGTCTATGCTCATCAATTCAGGAGGATGAATTCAGTTAAAATATGTTTTCCTTCCAATAAGCTCTAAACATTGGGCTTCATGGTATCCAACGAAGATGACTGATACCATAAGGCCTTTAATACAAAGCTATCAAGCTCCATCTGATTGATCAAAGACTGTGCCCCTCGGCTACCAAAGGCTTATTATCAGTTTGATTTAGAGATACTGGTACTGGTCCGGGACAGGAAGTCAGTGATGGGCATCGCAGCCACGGGGAAGACTGGAGTTGTGCTGGGATTTCTGGAACGCCATCTATGATTTATCTGGAGCTGCTGCTGCAGCACTGTGGAATCCGACCAGAAACACCCCCATATTCCTCTGGGTTAACCCAGTCTCAAACCATGACGGATTGGACTCCTACCGTCTCAGACAGTGATTCATGTACCTGTCTGTGTGTGTGCGCTTATTAATCCTAATGTCGGCTGGTGGGGAATGCTCCAGGCTGTGCAAACAAACTAAAAAACTAAAAACTACAAATGATGTTTCCTCCTCAGACGGTAAGTGGCAGGTAAAATAGCATAATAGTTCTTCTGCTTTTTTTTAACCCCCTACTGACCTGCTCATAAAGCGTCATAGCAAACTTCTGGTGCGTGATGCAAGACTTTGAAGTGCACGCATCCGTCTCCTCAGGCACAATGTGCCGGTGGATCCTCTCCAGTATGTTCTCCTGTGACACAATAGGAGATCAATAAAACCGGTTATGGGAGAAACCATTACCAACGCTGTTATCGTTAAACATTTAACAAGCCTTTTTGTAGATTATTTATGCCAAAAGTATTTTTACTAAAACGCAGGTACTTCCGAGAGCAGAACTGCAGTGAGACACATTGTTACATATCAATAGTTCTAATTCAGTCCTGTTGTGAACCTGATAGCAGAAGGGACACCTTTAAAGAGCAAGCCATTCTTCAGTTGAGCTCCCCACCGGTTTCTATGGGGTGCCTGTGACTTTATAAAATATTAAGGCTGGAAGGTACACTTGCAAAGGTTACAAGCACAACTTGACAGCCGGTTAATTTGACACTGGCCAAGTCCTCGCAGAAATTGTGCACTCACACGCTGCTGCATAACATGGTGAAAGCTCAAGGGCAAAGATCTGCGTAGGATTAAGAATTAAGATGCTCTATAAAAGATAGGAACTTTGGAAAGTAAGCTTCGGTCTTCAATGAAAGTTAGTGTTGAGGGAACTAGAATTAATGCTCGGGCTCGTGTGACCCTGCCGGCCAGTCAAAGTCGGGTCCACGTCTCAAAAACGTCATCCCATCATAATTATATCCTGCGAGAAAACCAAATTCTTAAGCTTTGGCCCAAAATGGGCTATGTGAAGCTGCCGTGAGCTTTGACCACCAAATTCTATTCTGCTCCTCCTTGAGTCCACGTGGAGGTTAGTGCCAGATGTACTGAAGTTCCCTGGGGCGTCTCTGAGCTACATTCACTAGGATGGAGCGGATGGATAACCCGAAAACATAATGCCTCTGCCCTCAGCCATCACAAGCACTGAGGCATACGCGTTACATTACATTAGTGAGTAACTTCTCATTTGAGAAGCACAGTGACACCCGGACGCGTTCAAACTTGTACAACCGCGAGTTCCCTTATATATTACAGGCCTCGGCTCCTCTATTCAAGAAGCATTAGCTTCTCTCTCTTTGTTTATCCAGCGCAGTTTGAATGGACTTTCTCGGAGAATAAACAACAAATGCAGCACGACATCAAGAAAGTCTGAGCTGTCTGGGTAAATGAGAGGTGATCAGAAATTAAATAATCATATTTAATAATAATAAATAATTAACTCTGATGAACAAGAAGAACAATGAAGGATAAAAAAGCACTGATATGTAATATGATTGCTAAATCAAAATAAGACAAAGAAATTACACTGCAGCTAAGGAACAAAACCGTCCGCTCAGGCGATGCCTAGTTGTGCCAAGAAAATCAGACAAACTCAAACTGATCTGTAAAAAACTACAGAAACGATGCAGCATAATGTCGTAGCACAAAACAGAGTGGTTCCAACACGACTCGGGCGCTTACATAACCTGTCACGATGATATTTAGCGGCAACGTGGCAGGGGTTGATGGGAGGGGAAGGGAGGGACAGAAGCTCTTTCAGTGACCTCGCCAAACAGTTGTGTTGTGCAGTGCATTACCCGAAACTGCGCGGCATGCTCGCACACACTCGTCTCCTTCCACAGGACACACGTGTTGCCACGGGAACTTACAAAGCACTCTGCGGCATCGTCCATGAAGCCCAGCTGGAAGCGCTGCTCGTCCTTAAAGGTCTCTGCCAAGGCGTGACGCAGGTTGTCAGAGGGCAGGGCGCGCTCCCGACTGTGCTGGAACTGGGAGAAAATGCCCTGAAGAGGAGAACAAGTTTTTCACCCTCAATGCGCAATTACACGGCCCGGATAAGTAAGCCAAAGAGTTTTTAATTTTGGACAGGAAACAAGAAAAAAAAAAAAAAAAGTAAAAACTTTTGATTGTATTCTATTGTACCTTTAAAGCACAAAATATGCAGGATTCTCCCAGACAGAAGTGTCCAGGTAGCTGCCTCAAGCTGCGTCTGAAGATATCCAGCTGCCATAGTACCTAAGAAAAGGGGTGAGGAAGGTTACATTCATTCTCTACACTATAAAACTTTACCCTGAATAGGACATAAAAGCGTCTTTTAGGTGTGAAGCATCTTGTGAATGTAGTTGACATGCATTTGTAAGTCCCTTTTTTTTTTTTTTTTTACATATGGCAATCAGACATCAGAACCTTGTCTCCAAGGTCATGAGGCTGAGGGGTGGGCGAGGAGAGCGACTCCCTGACAGAAACAGAGCCGCAGGTAATGCTCGTCTTCAACCGGCTCGTCGGTCGTACCACCCTCTGAGTCACGGTGACCGAGAGTGACCTCGCTGTGAGTCCTTCTGCAGTAATGCTCCAACTCGCCAGTCAAAAACAACACAGTGACTAAGTTTCAAAATGTCTCAATGAATAATGGAACATGGTGTTCATCTCCTGGTGGAAGGCAGCGATAAACAAACTTATTCGGAATTTTTTTGCACATCACAATTTAAAAAGTAAAAAAAAGGGTCTGATGATTCATCTTCAATATTATGGAATGACCGAACCCGATTAAAGGACTACATCAACAGGACACACCTACCTGCACTGCACTGTTGAGGAAGCAGCTGTTCTGGCCCGGTTCGTTCAGTAGTCCCTTGGTGGGGGCCAGAGACAGCATGCTCCCCGGTTGGTACGATTTGCCCAGATTGCCCCCCGGCTTTCTGAAGAACTTGGCCCATGCCATTGGATAGATGGGTCTGCCTTTAGGCAGGAACGTGACGGAGTGACTACCCGACGGTCCGGGTTCAAGTAATTCCACGAGCTGCTGCAGCTGCCCTGTCACACATGGGCTTCTAATCCATTTCTGCAGCTCGCGTAGGCGATCCTTTGACTTTTGTCTGTTGCGTAAAGTCCCCCTTGCGCCCTCACAATCCGAGTCTTTGTTTTGGCAAGCCTTTGATATTCAGCGGTCTAATACTTGTAATAAGATGTGTTTTGATGACGGAGTTACAAGACACAGTCATCCTGTAGGCTTGATGACTCTGCACAAACAGCGTCGGAGGGAGATTGTGGATGCCGGTCAGCTATTTTTGCCACATGGTCCTGATGTTATTTAAGACGTGCAGCTGGACTTAATGGTCCCTCTCAGAGGTCCATCCATGGCGAAGATTCGTCCAGGCTGCACAGGAAACACGGCCGGGCTGTTTGAGGGGGGAGAGAAAATCGGATTAAATGAGATTTCGTTATGGAATTTATCATCATTGACCCTTTTTTTACTAGTATGTGAGCACTCTTTTATTCTCACATGTTCAGTGGCTTTCTTCAGCCAAACGTCTTATCACAGTTTAAGTAGTCTTCATATTTCTGCTCAATCTGGGTGTGATGTCAGAGCTTAAATATTAACTTAACTAACAAAAAAAACAACTTTGCACTGGAAGCATGACAATCTAAAGCCCCACAGCTGAAAGGTGCACATTAAGATTCACATATTTATTTCATTGTTGTTAAACAATAGCTGACACAACAGCCGAGACACAATTAAATGAAACAGATGATGAAGTTGACCTAGAGCAGGCACATTCATTCTGTATATGCTTTTAATTACCGTGAATAGTTAAGGAGGAAGCAACCTCCAACATTAGAAGGTAAAAGTCTATGAAAAACTACTGAAAACCCCTTTCCAGCAGCTAGCAGAGCCCAAAGACAATCTGTATAACATGAGATATGTTATACACATTCACTTGTTATATTAACATAGCCATTTATTGATCCTCTGGTGAACTGCTCTATAGATGTATTACACAGCTGTGTCCCAATTGTAAAATCACAACAAACCATTTAAAACGTCCAGTTTGCAGTTCCAGATGTAAACCCAAACTGAACATTTATGAATTTGAGATTTTGAAAAGCCCATCCAGAGAAGAATGCCTCAAGTTTCTTTTGTGTCCCATTTTGTCAGTTTCCCCCTGCATTGCCATTCTTTCTGAACTAAAATACAAAAGAGTACTGGCCTGACCTATTTTCATGGGTGACAACTAAAGATGCACTTCAATGTATGAACTTTGCCCCCTGCGTGTATGAAAGCAGCGCCGTGCACAGTTTGCTTCAAGAGCTTTAACGTATGAATAGGTTTGTTGCTGAGTGAGACAGTGGAAGCAGTGTCGAGGTTCGTACAATCGTGAAAGAAGGCTTTAACATGCTCGGGAGATTTGTATTGGGACATTATTTCATGTCTTATGCAAAGCTTGTTATGAGTCTTTTTGGGGAAACTGATGCTGCGGCAAAGCAAAAAAGGTACTTTCAGCCGCGAGAGAGAAGAGAGAAGCAACAATGAGCAATAACAAGCCCCCGAGTGACCCGTGGTGATTCAGCCTCGTTTTAGATCACAACACCTAAAACAAATCTCCTGAAAGAATACATCTCAAACATTGTTATTGTGCAAGGACAACAACAACAAAAAAAAGAGAAAACACTGGCCTACTTTGCTCAAGGAATGAAACTTTTCTCTTTGTGACATGAACGACAGAAAGTTTCAGCCAAAACCAGTTGGACGACATTTCCATCCTGGCATTTTGGAAATAATAGACGATGACGATGTTGCAACAGCATTACCCCAGAGCCTGTTGATGCTGCAACCTCCCGTTTGGTATTTACTCAGTGAACTAAGCAGGCTAAGGTCTCTGCGTCTGGACTCCACAGCGATCAGCATTCCAAAGCAATTACTTAAAGCTCACAGGTGCTCGAGATCTGAAGTCTGTGGATTAGTTTCGGGCCCACCTTTACCAACGGCGTCACATGACCAAACATGTTGGTGGTATCTGTACGTTTCATCACAAGACATCTTAAGGCACATACAATCTTTTTTTTATTTTATTTTTTATTTAACTTTAAGAGCGCAAATCACTCCAGGACATCACAATTCAAGAAGTCCCACAAACAGGTACAAGGAGACGACACAAACAGGTTGCAGCATCCGCTCCATGTCAATGTGTTAGCCAGCAAAGGCAATACCACACATTTGATTTGATTTTATTAAGCCAAAAGCATGTATTGTAACACTGCTGACAACAGCAAGAGTGAATGTGGTCCTGGAGAGGTTATCGCATCATGGCGGTCCATTCCAAAACTGCCAACCTCACTTATGTTAAACTAGCCTTTAGTCAGCACGGAATTGGCACATGCTGCCTGCAATTCCACGACATCCATTTTTATGCTCCGTTATGAGGGAAAATCTACTTTCACCTTTATTTAATTTCCGTTTCTGTCACGATGAGTCCAGGACATTGTCACAAATCTGACAAAAATCTGTTTTTTTCTGCCACAAGAAATAAACATTACATTCCAGGCTAATGAGATTAAGCATGACGCTTTCCATCCGACAACATCATGTGACTGCCACCACGTCGCTGTTTTTGCACTGCTGGACGTGGGGCACACTTTCAGTCACGGAATGGCTAAATTACAATCCAGAGAGCTTAAAAGGCGGCAAACACTGTGAGCAGGGATCCAGGTGAAAAGTTGGGAATCCGGATGCAAGCAGCTACGCCGACATGAGGGCTGTTGTTCTGCATTTCATACGCTCCTGGTTTGTTTTTCACTTTTCAAAAGACCTTTTCTGAGAAATGTTCAAGCAGATCTTTCATAATCGTCTCGCACCGGACGCAGCCATGCGGTATATTGGCCTGCTTGTTCGTGAACCAAAGCGGTGAAAATGACTGAACTGGCTGCTCACAATACTGTCCTGAAGCCAGGTTTACGTCAGAACCCAATGTAAGCAAAGGCGCCTGGTGACACCCTTCCGTGTCAAGTCTTAGAAGTGAATGAAACCATTTTCTTCTGACTTCCCTACTTTGTGTAATCCTCACAAGTCTGTCCAATTATTTTTCTTTTCATGTGATAAACAGCAAAAAAAAAATACAATATGGAAGCACAATACGTAAAACATAATAACACACCATTTAAAATAGGAGAAAATAGTACAGACACCAAGTACTAAAATAACCAGTTAAACCCTGCACAGTGGGGATACTTTTACTCTCTATTACTACCTTGCTTGTGAAACTGTAAATTTACACAGATCTTCTGTTGCAACCGGCTGCACAATTCAGCATGAAACACTAAAGCATTCTTTATTGCAATTATCACATATACTGCTACAAACTGTTGCACCAGTTAGCTGGGGAGCAGTTCTACTAAATGTGCTTCATGAATATAGATTGATACATGTTGATAGGAATGTAACAATAGAAATGGATATAATTCTAACAATGCACGGCTTTAAAAAGTAACAAATAAACAAAAAGAACTTTGCTGGCCCTTATTTATGTCGGACTTGTTAAAAATGTTGTCCAGATCCAAGCCAAAAATAAGAGGTAATAACAAGTTGTTCTCTCAGCAGCACCAGAACAGGAAGTCCAGTGTTCTTTTATAAACAAAAGCTTGCTCAGTCCAGGGAGGACTTTTTTTTTTTTCTTGTCCTAGGGACAATGCTATGCTAGCACCTTGGAGCAATCAGCCACAGCGTGCTGTGCATCAGCACCTTTGACAGGCCATGGGAGTCGTGGGCATGTCTGGCGTGAAGGCATTGCGAGTGCGTTGCTATAATCTATCTATTAGTGATCTGTTGACGGATAGCCTCATTAAGAATGATTCAATTGATCGCCTTCATATGTTGATTAAAAGAGTTGCTGATGAATCAATCTGGGGTGAATTGAGTCACAGTAATTCAATGTTGTGAGATGTGACAGCGGAAACACATGGTGGTGTTTGATGTTCGAGGAAAGGCCTTTGTTGGAGCAACTCAGCTCAATGTTTACTTCCTAATACACATAATGCCGAAAACTCTCTACATCATCATCATTCACAACCTTTCCTCTTGTTTTCTTGATAAATTGTTCGGCCTCTCTTCAACTCCTGAGACACTATGAGATGAACTGATGTGAGCCCTTCCCTTTTTTCTCAATGCAGATCAATACACCTCTCCGTCAAGTTGGTGAATTATCCTCCTGCATGACAACCGAGAGCGTTCCCCCGTGTTCCTGCTCCACTCTGACTCACCGCCGCTGATGACTGAGGATTACGTTCAACCGTGGCTCCTACGGCGATACGGTATTGGGCATCTTTTTTAGGGAAACTAAAGACTTTATTTTAATATCTCATCGTAAAACACAATTGTCACTTCAGACAAATCTTTTCAGAGCTGGATTGAGTCATAGTTTGTGACCTGTGATGATTGTAAAATGGGGAGGGGGGGACAAATTCTGTGACAGAAACAGATCATTTGTGGGGGATTAGCCACATTGGAAAATTACCTGGGAAGTGTAGCAAAAGGTATCAAAATGAATGGAATAATAATTTTAGTAAAATATAAAAATGTATTTTGGATGCGGCCCACTTGTTAGATGTCCAACCCCTGTGGTAAACATGGGAATAAAGTCACATTTTTATAAAGGAACTCTCACAGAAGACAGTCTCCCACATCATCTCCATTTTTCCTCTGAAGTGGTGAACTAAATTTCTGACCAACATTCTCTTTTTTCTTCACTAGAGCTGACAAAATGTTCTGATGCCCGATGATTTAACGCATTGGCTTAACCCAGTCAGTCTGTTGATCTTAATTAAAAGCTGGGACTGGCCAAACAGTCTTAAAATAAACAAAGCACGAGTAGCCAGTGCGCGACGGGACGCAGCAATAAAACAAGACCCCGCATGCTACAACCCTGAAAACAGTAAAACTAGCCTGTAACATTCCCTACGGACTGCACGCGCGGTTTAAGCCTTCGGGCAACAATGCAGCGGCCGTTTCCTGTGTGGGCTTCCTGCTCAAAGGCTCGCCGCTCTCCAGCACGCGGTGACCGCATTCAACCCTGTGAAACCCAACAGGTCTCACACACACACACACACACACCACGCTGAGTCACCCATTATTCCCCACAGAGGAAGGGTAGGCAGGGAGGGCGTTCTGGTTCCTTCAGGATCCCACACGGCAAGGAATCTGATTGAAAAATAACATCCTCCTCGTCACTTTTAGAATTGCTCCCATAATGCACCCCGACACCCTGACCACTTGCCAATAAGTGTAATGATAATAAAACTATGTATCTACTTGTGTCCATCAATCTGTTTACTAGTAAATTACTGCAACCAACGTTACATTAACAGGTGCAAAACCTGGAGTCAAGTGTGTGTTGCTTCTTGGAAAGCAGATCCACACGTTGAGCAACTCAATAGTCTCAATAAGAAGAAAAAGCTCACTCACTCCAAGAACTCTGGCGCCACACCGCTTGCAAGTACGATTGAAAGATGTGCTGTGTGTGTCTAAACTGGTTCTCCAGCATGCCTCCAAGGTTACTTCACCGTCCCGCTCCTAAAGCAAATGTTCCATCAACAAAAAAGAGAGGGGGATGAGTGTGCATGAGGTCTCCGGGGCGGATGATCTCACTGCTTCAGCACCACCGCCGCCGCTTTTTGGGGACTGTGGTGTGCTGCGTAGTGTGTGTGTGGAGGAAGGGGGGGCCTTCTCCAGATGTGTGCCGGCCAATGAGCTCTCTTCTTAATCATTTAAGAAGAGAGCTCATAATAGTAATAATAAGGGCGAGCAAAACAATTGCGCAATGTGAAACCTCTCCGTTCACCACCAGCGTAAAAATCCAAAAATAAAAACACAACACACGAGTGCTGATATTTTGGTGTGGAAATGCGTATTTGCGTGGGGACACGAAGTGGGCTCGAGATGAGCGGTCGCTTGAGAGCCTGGTTTTCGTTCGGCTAGCAAACCGGTTTTGAATATTTAATAATGATAAACCCGACACATTGCTAACTAAGCTGTCAACAACGACTCGGCCACGGACGGCTTGTTTTTAAAGGAAACCACTGCACATGTTCCAGCTGGGAATAGAAACTATAACAACATGACCCAACAAGTCGTCTGGTGTTTTACGTTTACACGATACGTTGTGCTGCTATGCACCTGTGCTAACTGAAAGCTACCTGGCCGACTGGAAGCGGCTAATGCTAGGGCCTACCTGCTTCCCGGCTTACCTGAGCTGCAGGTAAGGCTACATTTCCGCCGCACGTCCTCGCTACTAAAAAAACAACTAAAAACAAACTTGGTGAAGTTTGGAGGAGCGAACCTTTAAACCCAAAACCAAGAGCGACTCACCTCAGAGAGAAAAAATTAACCAGAAGTGCCGTAATATCCTTCAGTGGGAGCGAGAGTTGAAGTATTTTCGTGGAGTTTCGGGGTGGGAGGAGGAAGGGAGGGAGGAGGGAGGGACCGAGAAGGCGAAGGAGTCGCTGGTCAAAACGTGTCACGTTAACTGAAAGGCGCAGACGCTGGTAAAGTACATATATAAATATATATCTATATATTTTTAAAACACCCGCAGGAGAAAGTACTGCGTTCACGACACCGAAACTTCTGGCTTCTCTGGGTGTATCTTTTCTCTTAGCCGAAACAAAACAACAAAAAAGCCCCGCTCGGGACTCCTTACGTCCCGCTCGCGGTCCCGCTGCGGCTCGCTGGAGAGGAGCAATGGTCGACTTCGGCGGCACCTGAAATACTGGATTAGAGACGTTTTTTTTTTGTTTTTCCTCTCCCCGGGAGCTGAGATGTCAAACCCCGCCTCCTCCACAGCGTATTTACTGCGGTGTTCCGTGCTACTGTACACCACAGCCACACGCACGCACGCACGCACGCTCTCTCTCCGGACACTTGCGGGAGCGATCATTTCTATTAGATGGTGCAGCGCTATTTAGAGTTTGAAACTGCGAAAGTGCACCTTCAGTATTTATTTTTTTCAAGCACTCTAAAAGACATTCGTATGTTCATTTTTTCTCATTTTTTCTTGAACTGCATCTAGGGGATGCAATCATGTCCCAAATGCCATCCGAACGTGCGCGTCAGTGTGGTGCTCAGTGGCCGCAGGGGTGATGAAAACATGAACCTGCGTGGCTGCACCGCGTGTTCTGAAAACCATAATAACCCTGGTGATTATGAACAAGTGAGAGCGGAGGAAAGTGATGTAAGGCTCTTGTTACCCAAACACCATCTGCCCGATCCTGTTATATAAAGAAAGCAATGAGAGAGATGTGCAATTAAAGCTTTTCTCCCACCCCCCTTTTTTTAGACGCAAGAGAGTGCAGCGGCGCTGTCATGTTACAGGACCCCCAGCAAAGATGACCACATTTTTTATTTTTATTTTATTAATTAAAATAAGTAAGTTTGGATTGCTTCCAATGAAGGGGGCATTTCATACGGATGCATCACTATGAGATCATAAATGTTTGATGTTTTCATTCAATTATTTCTCCAAACATTTCAACCGTACATAATACAATTTTAACTTGTGCAATGACTTGTGAATGTTATCCTGATTATTAATGAGAATATATAGTCATTAGTTACAATATGCACTATGTATTTGAAGTGTATCATCATTTTAATATAGCCTACATGACTGATTACACATGCAAGCTTGCATGTTTTTTAGATAATCAGTTTGCCATGTTTTTTTTGGCGTCACTCTGGCTTTTTTTTTTTCAGATTCCACACCAGCTTCAAAAACATTTGCTGAAACAGTTTGAAATTCTTTACTGAAATTAGACTAAATATCAGAAAAGTGTCATTTGTCCAACAAACTCTGTGTTTGACAAAGGACTCTCAGATTAAAAAATGGCACAGGCACTCATTAAGGCAGAGGAAACGGTATGCAATGATCAAGTGTGCGGCGAAGGGTCACAATGTATCAGAGTGGTTTAGCCTTTCCCCAGGAAGTACTTGAGAGGGCCCATTGAGGAGACAATGCCATTTCCCTCCACACACATTTCCCCGAGGGATATATAATGCTTCCTCTTAAAATACAAAAAAGTTGAGAGTGTGATTGTAATCAGTTTGAGGGATGTGAGCTGCAATGCTCTTTGGTGTAAACACATATAATAAAACAATCCAGACAACCTTTCGGCATTCTGGATGGTTGATGTTAAATTCCTAATTTTTTTTATTACTGGGTTAACAAAAAAAAAGTATTTTGTCATCAGAGTGGTGCTCTGAGCTCAAAAGATTCACATTATAATGTTGGACATTCCCAACCTGGCTGTAGGCCTCCTTTCTTTGAAGTCCTGCCACTGAATATATTATATCTTATACATTATGGATCAGACAGCTAAAACAGATCAGGTCTTTAACAAGTTCCAAAAATGTAAACTTCTTTCTTTTTGACCTCGGTGGACAGCTTGCAATCCAGCCTGCTAATTTTGACGATTTGCACGCTGTCAGCATTTCTGCCTTACTCTGAGCCAAAAGTCTAAAAAACGACTGTTTTATGCAGTTTGAATGACTTCTGCTGAGTAGCAGCTTAATAAAAAGTAATTCACTTTTCCATTTGATTTCGGATATGATTATTTTTTGCAACTCAGTATGTCTAACTTAAGGGTTCTTACAAAGTAAGTTTCAATCAGATTATCGGTTTAACTTGCTGATAGTAACTTCTTGAGCTCAAATCAGCAAACCGTTGATCCTACACCACTTTAATTGAAGATTAATTAGCAAGACTTTGCCAGCTTTGCAAGGAGGCAGCGCACACAGTAAATGTCCCGCTGAGAGCTGGTGCCATTGCCCGGACTTCTCACCTTGAGAGAACCATTGAACAGCACGAGGTCTGCTGAACACTGTGGATAAACACGGCTCACACGGCAAACCCCTGTGTCCTCTTCATGCCTTTGTTGACCTTTTCTTATCATTTCAGCGCCCACAAACAACACAACCAAGTCAGGTTTACTTTTAATGTGATGTGTTTTGTGTTACTTTGGCGCTCACTCTCACAGCCGCTGGGTTGTCTGTGCCTTTTTTCGTCCGTTAGAGAGTCTAGATTCATAGGGGAAGTTGATTGGGTCACTGGGCAGCTAAATTCCGATTCACCCCAAATGTACTGTGCCAGTTAAAGTGGGATATATTTAGCACCGTTGTCTGGCTTTTAAATCTATACTCACTGTACTCAAATGGAAAGTGGGGCAACAATGCTAAAACCGTACAGCCTTTTTTTTCGGCGCTTTCAGGGTTCTAAATTTTGGACCAGGGAGAAAATGTAAACAAAAAAATCTAAAAATATATCAGGAATAAATCTGATTAATCACAATGAAACACATAAAACACTTTCTGGTGGACATATACGATAATTACTATGTACATTTAAAGGTGTCTTTTGCAAATGTGAAATGTAAATATCTAATTAAAATGTAACTCAATCTGCTGCTGCCCTGGTAATAATACATGCCCTAGTTATTGTGCATGACTGTATATGAGCAAGCAAACCCGGATTTGTTTTGCGTCATGGCAAATGCAAATACTTCCTTTGGATAAACTTTTACTAATGAAACCCAATATGAGCACACAACATGTCTTGATGACAAGCACAAACGTGTGCGTTGCTGTCAATACAAACGGTGTGTAGCTCGGAGGTTACTCAACTTTAATGAAAACTTCACAAAGTGGAATGACTGAACAAAGCAGCGCCTAATGTTTCCTGTAAACCTCATTTGTTGGGCTACTATTTAATCACTGTGACAAACCACGTGGTAGTGGATGCCCCGTTGTTACGTAACGAATTAGACGTGCTCGAACGCCACAATGAGGGCCACTGAGAGGCAATGCTTCTCCTGCTATATTTAACTGCCGAAATCTATTGTTGAGTCAAGGTTTTTTGCAACGGACCTAACCATGATTCAGAGAATCACCAATAAGACACACTTGTAAATCTTCTTGACATAGTATGTCATTCAATGGAATGATATTTGTTTACTTTCATGATGACGTAACATGACAACACACACAGCGAGGTGGGTGCCTTTCACAATAAACATTCTACTCTCTGCCTTTAATTTCCATTTTGTTTATTTGTAGTAATTTCCATTTTCTGTCAAACCTTTTGGACGGTGCTTATTGTTTTACTGCAGAAAAGTAGATGACATAAGCAACATTCTTTTGGCCGTTGACCACGTTACATTAATTCTGGAGAGCAGCCAAAGGGGTGACTGTGATATATTTCACTGCTGTGTTTGCCGTATCCGTGGTAGCTGCAGCACACCGCAAAGCATGCTGTTGCCTCAGTGCTAGATGTTAGGGAAAGTAATACCCTTCATTTAGTGAGATAAGGCACATTAATAATCTGGCAACATCCCTGAAAAATGGGCTATTTCCTTTGTTGTCACATTAAGGATAGTTGAATGCATTTGCTCTACTTTTCTAGCTATGAGAAAAGAGCTTTACTTGTCACCCAAAAGTCCTAGTGTTACAGTTTGTTTACCTACCAGTTGTGTTAGTGGTTCAAAGTTAATAATTATTCACTGACTACCAGAAAAAGAGAAGAGGTTAACAAATATTGACCAGTCAGGATTATAGATTGAGGGCCATAGGGACTGAGGTAATAGTCGGCAGTTGGATTACTGTGAGAGAGCAAAGGCCTAATTGGTCTCACGGGCTTTTTTTGCAAGTAAACAGGAACCCAGTCTTCAATTTGCATTTGTCCAAACAAGTTCATTACTAACCAAGCTGTGTGCATCCTTCCATAAAGTACTCGAGTTTCTGCGTGATGAGAATCAGTGCACATTGCTTTACTGCTTTAAAATAAATCCTTTTTCTGTACATATAGTCAAAGAAGAGATCTGATTCATTCTGGCCTTCAACTTGTGAGCCCATCTCATTAAATTATAGAACAAATTCACAGACAAACGAACATGCAGACACAGGCAAACATCTTATCTCATTGTTACCAATGGATAAATGTGCACAAATGGACCCCCCCCCCCCTCAAACCCTTGCAATGAGCAAAACATAGTTCAACTCACTGTGTCATTTCACCTCATTTCATGAGTGGAATGTGTGCCCGACTTCACATCCCCTCACAGGCAACCCACCACCGACCCACTGAGCCCTCGGATGCTTTATTTCATTCATATTTTTAGATATTCTATTATGCTTTGCACCACTGTGAGAAGGACCAACGGCTGCACACATCCATCAGGCTGTGGACATATCCGTCGCGCCATCAAAATGAGAAAACTCGGACAAACAATTATCTGTCATTTTGTATTATTATCATCCCAGGAGGTCTCCACAACACAGCCTCACAAGGTTATTCACGGATGTCCAACATGTCTTCTGGATAATTTAATATAATACTGCATTAAAGCGTTTTAAAGTGTGTCTGTTTGCTAAAACCTTTGCAATATGTGCCTCATTCTAGGAACTTCTTTATGCACCTTTTGTTTCACAATACTTTTATTTTCTCACCCAAGGCGAGCAAACTCAGAGAAAAGCTTCTGGGATATTGGTTGGTCGTGTAGGTCAACCTTTAAGCAGTGGTCTGTGTCAGCAGCAGCATGCTGCACACTCAGTGTTAGGTGCTGTGTGTGCAGATGGAGACCCGAGGGACCTTAGCTTTAAAACATGACAGTGAATGCAACAGCAGCAGAGGACATTGTTAACTGCTGATAAAGATTAAGAAGACCAGCTGCTCAGTCGTAGACTGAGGGGGGTCAGAAAGTACAACACATTTGACAAATTATGTAATTTAGTGAACATTTTCTTCACTTCTTGCACACACAAACTCAGGCACAACAAAAATCACGTTCCCCTCTTATCAGGTTTCTGGTTAGATAACCAGCGTTCGCCTATATTCCTATCAGGTGTGTGTGTGCCGTTTCTCCGTCTCCAAAAGCAATTTCTAAAAGGACTGCCCTGCATTTGAGCTCAGTGAGGCCCGGCCATGCTTCCACCCCCCCTTTCCCTGACCTTAACCAAAGCGATTTACAAGGACCATAAGCATGTTTACTTTAGTCTCATGCTCAAGTACGTAACAAGATTTCTAATAGTTTCTGGCTTGGACAGTCAGTCCAACCACTTCGCCTACCTGTGGTGTCTGCTGCCATCTCATCCCAAAGTAAACTGGTGTCAATGAGACACATTAATCTAATAGTCTGGCTCCCCAAAGTCCCAGACAATAATATTTCCATTGCTGCTTTTTTGGTCATGCCTACAATGAAAGTTCAATCAGAGTTCGTGGCTGCCCTCGCTAAACACGGCGCGATATTTACCGTGCTTGGCAGAGCTGCTGCCTTGGTCAGATGCCGGTTAGTGTGCTGTACACGCTGTGCTCCTGAAGAGGGTGGCAAGAAGAATTCAACAGGGCTAGAAAAAAAGGGAGTGGCACCGGGAGCTGCACATTCCAAAGGGTCTCCGACGGAGGCGAGGAATGCTGATGCTGGGCCTGATCACATGACTTAGGGAAATCTGAGAGGCATTTGGCCCGCTCGTTCCTTTTTAGAGAAAGAGATGTCAATAACCTTAACACAAATGAAAAAACATCCTTTCCTCAGACTCGTCATTGCCTAAATGATGGGAATGCTAATCTTGCGAGCATTTTAACTAAATGAATTTGAAGGATTGATCGCCTCCCTGCGGCTCTTTCCACGGTGACAGCTCAGCCTGCGGGCTCGTATGCCAACGGTGGCGTCAGGTCTCAGTGTACAAACTCAGGCAGAAGTGCTAACAGAGGAACAGGGTTAACCACAGGGGGGGAAAGAGGGTGGGTGCTCCTCTTCGTGGAGACACCGCCATCAGCTGGAGCCACAGTACGAAAGCAGTGGAGAGTGGCGGCAAACTTGACGTTGAGCTGTATACTTGTGTTACAAATTTATTTTATTATCAAAGAAATGTTAAAAACCTACTCATAATAAGAGGCAATGGTTTAGAGGACCAACACCGAGCCCAATGTGTAATAGGAACACAATGTTGTTGCCTATCATCTGATCTGACGTCAAAGCTAGTCATGTATCACTATCTAACGTACAACACACTCCTACAGTGACAGCAACGCCCAAAGGGACATATGACCCCTCCTAATATAGGTCATCCTAACTGACCTCCAGACTTCATAAATTGAGCATCCCTTACATATTGCAATCCATCATGGTTCCCATGATTCGTTATTTTAGACCAAACATACAGCTACTGGAAGCAACCTAATATTTACAAGGGGCAAAGCATCTTAATGATGTGGTCAAATTGAAACGAATGAATAAATTCTTCTCTGGCTTATACTTGAAAATAGAATTTTTGGAAAATTGGAAATGGAAATGCAATAAAGCTGGAAAAGAGGCTGTAATATATTTTACCTACTCTCCTGCCTCAGGTTTTCTTTAACAATTCAAATAGCACTGTTGATTTGGAGGCCGTGGTCCATGCAAACTTGTTGAAGACGGTCGAAAAACATCCAAATGCGTCCACATCATTGCATTAGAAGGAAATTAGTACATGCAAGTAACATAACAATTACTCAGAAACTTGAAAAATGAGTCTGAATATTGAACCCTACTCTTCTTTTAGCTGAATAAAACGACAATACATACACTGCAGCTCTTGGTGACTTTCAGTTGCCTTTTTGCGCTGAAGCCTGTTACGTCTGTGATGAATTTCTAAATGCTGTATTAATAAACAGACAGCCAGATAAGGAGTAGGCACAGTTCATCAGGCGGCCCTCCCATCAATCCCACCCTCCTTGGCGTGGGCATAGCCAAAAGGTGAGAGACACATCCGTCAAGCCGCTCATCTCAGCGGAGCAGATTTGATTTGTCAGGCAGTGTAACCTTGAGGCATGTTACAGTGGCTCACATGTGTCTTTGGTCTCTCACACGATGCGACAACCGATGGGTTTGCATACAAATTTAACACGGGCACAGCATCATTCACTCAAGTGATCCTTCAGTGTAGCTCAGACCAACTCACTGTGAAATTATCTCAGGGGGCATGTTGTGGAATATGTTACAGATTTGCATCCATGTCCAAATACAAATGCATCTTGAAAACGTGCGTGTGTTCTAGCAACAATGTCAGTGTCAGAAATGAAATTGAAGCATAGAAATTAAAAAGAAATGACGTCAGACTTTTTGCTTTCTACACCATTTTTATTGAGCAAAAACTTGCAAGATAAAAATGATCTCGTGCACATTAATTTACAATAAATTCCATTTATCCCAGTAATGTCTCTGCATTATGTACAGGATGATTAATTCATTTTCAGAAGCAGTGCAATAGTTAACATCCCTGGAAAACAGAGGGATGCTGCATTCATGGTAACCTGAAGCTTTCTTTCTCTCTGACTGTCCTCGCCGTGGCGGTACCCCGCCCACCCTCACCTCTGGTGCAGCAACTACGTAGACAGCAACTCTGTGTGACCTCATTAGTGGTTCAAAGGTCGTCTGACTCAGGGACGAGAATAGGATCAAGGGAAACGACGGTGAGCGGGATCGGACCGCCGTTCGACACCCAACCCAGAGCAGATCTGTTGAAGGAGGGTCGATCGACCGCCGTGTCCCCCTGGAGCTCGGGGTAGTTCGGGAGGGGTTCTTGCAGGAGGGACTTGGTGGGAGCCGGTCTAGGTGCTTTGCCGAACCCGCCGAAGGGGGTCGCCACCCTGAAGGTGACGGAGAGACAGTGTGTTAAGAGTAGTTGTCATGTGCTAATGAGAGGGACGGCGGGGACGTTTGGAGTGATGCAGCTAATTACAGCAAAGCAAGACTTGGACGTGAGGTAAGAAATGGCTGCTTTAATTTAAAAGCATACACTTTCAGTACTTATTTGGCTCACTCAGCATTTGTCTTCGTGATAAATGTCAGTTATAAAAAAATATCCCAATTTATGAATTAAACACTACATAAGGATTTTTCTTCTACAGCTGTACACGGTCTGGTACGATGACTTGCTGTCCTTCCGTTAGTTTGTTACCTGTTGAAACTTTTGTATCCGGGTAGGTCTGCTCTGGGTTCCGGCTCCGCCATATTGGGGATGAGCGTGTCAGCCAGGGCCGGGTCACTGACGATGGCCTGCTCCCAGGGTGAGTGGTAGGACTTTGGTACAGCTGTACTGTTGAACTTCTCCGGAGGGATGTCTTTCAGAGGACCTCCGTACCCTGGGTGGGTTTACAGAACAGATTATAAGGCTTTCCTAATTCCAGGATAAAGAGGGTATTCATATTTATATTTAATAGCCAAATTAAATACTATTTCAAAGAAACAGGAAGTCCAAAAAGTGCTGATCCTTCCCACAGACTGGTCAGTTGGTCGTGAGTAAATTTGAGAAGTGGTTCATTCACTCTACTGATTTCTCATCATATGATTTCATGGTATTGAATACGGTTTGAGTATTTTCCTGTTGTTTAGCTTTGTTAAGTGTTATATAAGAAATAAGGGGAAACATAAGAAACCTTTTTTATATCACCAATTGCGCACACACACACACACACACACACACACACACACACACACACACACACACACACACACACACTGTTGTATCAAAGTGTTTCATTGCAATACCTTCCAATTGGTTTTGCTCTACCCCTTTGAGTCCTTGTTAAAGCAAAAGAAATCAAGGGTCAGCCTCCCTCCTTCTGTGTGTGTGTGTGTGTGTGCATGCCTTCATATGCGTCCCTGCTTAGTCTATGTATCTCGATGGGAGGGGAACATCCAAAGCACTATCCTTCAAACCCACTGCTTCACTCAGGGGGGGCTCGCAAGCCCAGACATTACATAACACACGGCCTCATGTCACGTCCCAACTTCTCACAATGAACAATCCCCCTTCCTGAGTTCATGTCTTGCCCTGAGGAGGAAGCAAGAGAGACCAAACACACCCGTGGGGAGGTTCACCGATTTGGGGGAAGTCTATTACAAAACATTGTGTCCAGGGCTGTAGTGGAGGCTAAACGCACGTAAACGGCGTTTACGCACCTCTAGAATTTTGGAAATAGCGTTTACGCACCTATAAATAGCGTTTACCCACCTCTAAGTGGCATTTACGCACCTCAAAGTTCCCTGCGCCTTGTATTCTTCCGTTGGAATAATCCGAAATAAACTTGTTGGTGTAATTTTAAAACAGCTAAGACTACGTTTCCTATTGTTGAACATATAAACGCCGTAGTCTGAATCATTTTCATCTGCGCTGTATTACGGTCTGTGAGCATCCAATCAGTGCCTTGCGGCTGCAGCAGCGACACCAATCAGGATCCAGGTGGTGTGTAAACATATACACGTTGTGGATTAGCCCAGTGGTCCCCAACCTTTCTTACCTCACGGACCGGTTTCATGTCAGACAATATTTCGACGCGTTGATTAGAAAACAAGTCAGTTCTCAATGTGAAAAAAAATGCTGTATAGGCTATTTATGATGACATAGGTAGTACATGAGTGTTCCTTTAACTTATGTTGTCAGTGTAATTGACAGGCTGCTCAACTGGTTAACTCTTAAATTCAACATATTTTTTCAGGCAGTGAGAGGACAGGCAATGATGCAGAGAGCACAGGGAGAGGAGAAACACCAGGTCCAATAGAGAGAGGAGAAGCACACACGTGTTCTGGGGTTCATGGGTCCTCTGTGCAAGGCAGGACCTGACATGGAGGACAAGGAGGCCCTCTGGGCACTACTGTAAAAAGGAGACTCCGTATGTAGATAGTTCTTAATCTGCAATTGTGTTATTGTGTTGTGTTGACACTTTTCTTTACTGTTTTCTTAAATTTAATAAACTACAAACTACTAACACATGTATTCATTGTCATTGATTGTATATGACTTTTACTGATAACATAATGCAATATAGCCAGGACAGCCTTACAGAGTCGCGACGCTTTGTGTTTGCGTTGCTTCGCATCGAGGTCTGTATGATCACAAAATTCAGAGTTTACCCACCTCTAATTTTACCACTACAGCACTGATTGTGTCAAAGGTTTTCGGAGGGCATGGAATATTGTTATTTTTGTTTGACATTTAGTTAATATCGCTTTTTGATGGAGAGGATTGTCATACACGCAGCTCTAAGTAGGGTATGTCGAGATAAAAGTGTTATCCCCAAAAGATTTTAAATCAGGAAAACACCCCCTTTTTTCTGTTTTGTTTTTGTGGCAAAAAAACATTTACATGCACACAGGCAGCCATTTATCAACATCCATTGCACTATGCATCTTATTGTAAACTGTAAATCGTCATAATAAATCAGTTTCTTCTTTCTTGTCCATGTTTTATCAACTATTTGAAGGTTTTATTGAAGTCCAATTAAAATGAAGTGTTCACTGTATAACACTGCTGCCTGGTTAAGAAATTTTGCTTGACATGCACCCCTGACTAAATGAGTGCTATTTTAAGAGTTTTTACCATTTGATACCTAATGCACCCTGGCCTGATTTCAGCAAAAGCTGGACTGACTTCGTTGAGACACTGAAGGGTGGTGTCCGGTCCTGAGCTCCAGAAATAACACCCCCACCCCTATGCAGACGCACTTGTAACTAGATCAGCAGCGGTTGTGCGTCCACTGGGCAGAATTAAAAAAAAAAAACAAGGGAGGAAGTGAGTGCACCACTGATGTTATCTGCGGCACGGAGGCAAACGGGAAGCTCTTCCCGCGGGTAAAACTAAACATTTTGGAGAAAGATTTTCAAAGCTGATTGTGATAAGAAGGGGTGGATTTTTTTTTTAAGACGTGCAGAGTGAGAGAATTTGTAGAAACTGTAGAGGGTCAGATATGAAACAGTAGTGGGCAGAAGATATAAAAACAAGAGACAAGCGGAGAGAAAGTAATCATATGTGCCGGCGGCGAGCACATTCCGAGCAAACAGAAAATATTTTCCGACACGATCAAAGCCTGCGTGAGTGCAGACAATGAAAAACAGTTGAATCCTTATCAAAACACCACACTCACACGCTCTATCCAGCAGGAGCGGTACAATCGAATGACTGGTACATCCAGTGTGTTAAAATAAACCATCAACTGTAGAGAATGTTCAGTGTGGCCTAATGTTCCAAACCTGTGTAGTGAAGCAAAAAAACTGGCAGGACATGACACCCCTAATTGAAGCCGAAATGAATGAGAGGGTATGAAGCTATGTCAGTGATCATGTAATACATGGAAAGCAGGGCGTAAGTGCGGTAAAGGTCACCGAGACAAACAATCAATTGGCCTGTGGAGCTGCAGCATGTCCCTGCTGAAATGATTTTGGGGTCCTTTGGGTCTTACTGGTACCTACCCGGGGCGATGCTGTCTGGATTCGGCTCCATGCTCGTATCTGGTGTGTCAGATGGCACAGCAGGAGGTTGGTCAACATCCATGTTGTTCTGGCCGCTGTGGTTGTCCGTGGCACTCAAGTTCTCGGGTTGAATAACTATCAGACTCTAAAAGGAAGATCCAAGGGACAAATTTAGCTTGTTGAGATTTCAACCCGGAGGATTATTGGACTTCTGAATGTGTCTTCTGCAGGAGTTTCCAAGTTTGGCAGATGTTTGAATTGCCATCTTTATTTAGCAGTTGTTCACAAATTTATTTTTGCTAGATGTGGCATCACCGAGAGCTCCAGGATTGCAGGATATAGCGACATCTAGCGGTGAGGCTGAAGGTTGCAACCAACTGAAACGTTTCCCATGTGCTCAGCAGAACGACCAAGGTCAAAGCAAAAACGCAAATGGCCCTGGAGCCATTATTTGGTTTGTCTGTTCCGTCTCAGTGAACCGGACCCAATTTGTATGTAGTCATAAATTACATATTCTACAGTAGCTGAAACCTACCGATTCTTATTCTCAGGAGCTGCAAAAAAATGAAATGTAGCTACAAACATTATATTCAATTTCTGCCAATATAAACCCTTAAATACGACACACTAAACTGATAAGTGTAAGTTACGATGAACAATCTCACAGCTACATATTACAAAAAAATAATAACATGATTGGCATGCACATAAAATCTGTGGCATGGTAACTTTGTTAATTCTTAATGAAACCAAATCATCCACTATTTACTGCTAGTATCTTTCATGTGACCTCAAAGCAGTAGACAAGCCTTCATTTTACACAGAGGCAGACTGTCTCTGTGTCCACTTTTCCTCAGAAAGAAACTTTGCTTTGTGGGCACGGACAAAATGTACTGCTCCATACAGCTTTCATCCCTCTGAAAGATATTTATGATGATTTACTCCAGGACTTCCTCAGGAAATGTTGACAACTTGAAACAGAACCCCTCGGTTGCCCCGAGCAATAAACAAACCAGAGTTAGAAGAGTTCTTCTCACTTCAAAGATGAGGCGAAACGCTTCCTTAGAGCATAACAATTATTTCATCTATGGACTTCACAAGGGCAATAAGTGTATCACCACACAAGCAAATGAAAGAGGATGTAACTACCGCTGCTAATTAATTGGATACAACAGTGAAACTAAGTGAAACTTAGTTTATCTTGATTCAATTTTACTGCGAGATTTGCTGCATAAAACGCTTTACGTGTGACCAAGCCGCGCTAAGATAAGCACTGCTTGGAAAAGACAATGCTGAGTTGGCTCACTGCCAATCCATACACAAAAGGGCATTTATAAAGTTTTTTATGACTGACGGAAACTATGCTATCCTGCGCTAAGTCCGCCGAGTCAAATAAACATTCAAGTGCTTTATCTTTCCCACGTACACCCGGGAATTTGAGTGTTTTTTGTTTTTTTTCAAGTGATGGAGAACAAAGCTGTGGGACAAATGTGCTTGAAGAGAATACTGTCCAACAGTGTTACAATTACATGCAACACGTGTGTTTTACGAGTGTTATAAAGATCCGTAAACATCAATGTGGACAGAATTTACTCCAATTTACTCAATTTTCCTATGCATGTGTGTTTTTGTGTATTTTATGCATTCATTCACATATGGTTATTGGATCACAGTTTCCACCTACATTGAGCTGTTTGTTGTTCTCATTATGGATGCTCTCAAAAGTGTATTTTTCTGAGCGTCTCTGGCGCATTTTGAAGAGACGGGAGCCCCGGTTTGAGGCGAGAGACAGCTCCTCCAGCATGATGTCCTTTGGCACGTTAATTTTCTTGCCAAGATCCATCTCTACGTCTGGACAGAAGGAGACATGCAAAACAATGAATGGCTTGAGTATACAATATTATACATTATACATATATTACTTGGGAATTGATTGATTTCAGACTAGAAATACTTATTTTTCCAATTTCCCATAATCCCACCTATCAAACCTCATTGAACATATATTATATTCACGCGGGGAAAAAGAAAAATCGAAGACTGCTGCAACAAAAGCCCTCAACATGGACTGCCGAGTTGGCAATCCTGCCAATATGATGAACGAGCAATTATCTTCTCTCGTATTCCACTCATGTGCATGTTTAGCGGTTACCACCACGTGCTCGCTACTGCATGCTGATCATGGAGATGTCACAGGCCCATTTATAAGTGTGAGGTGCATCATTTGCCAGAATATCTTTCAGCTGTCAGTGGCCTTCAGACCCAGCCACACAGTTGTCCTCCCCTGGAAATAGCGTGTTTAAAAGGACAACGACAAAGGGATTAGTTACTTTGGCTCATAAAAGTTTTTCATTTACTTATTTATAGTTAGGGTCATAGAAGGGCTGGCAACTGGCAAACGGTGCGCTCATACCTTCTATAAAGTGAATGTGGCGGTGTGCAGTACGTCTGGCAACTTGAGCCAGGGTTGACAGTAAAGTTCATATGACCGAGAAATGAAATGTGTAGTGATTAAATCCTTGCCTTTGTGGATATGTGATGAACGCGAGGAGAAGGAGGCGTGACGGAAACAGAAGCAAAGAAAGGACGCAACAAGAAAACGAGAGGGAAATGATACGGCTACCTTCCTGGGCTTGAACCTCCCTGCAGATTGCGGCCGCCTGCATTTGCCTCTCCCTGGTCGTCATGGTGGAGAACTGTGACATGGCTGCCCCTGGGGAGTAAGGGGGTGAGGCAAGAAGTCAAAGGAGACAAAGCACATCAGTGCAAACCCCTTCAAACGTCCAACGAGACACAAAAGCAAGACAACACGGCAGCAAATGTTGACCATCGATTGGCCGACATAGAGAACACACACCAAGCACAAAGGCCCGTCGGAGCAGATAGGATTTATTGGTGCAGTGAAAAGGGCAAAGTTAGCACATCCCTTTAAATAACCTTGGGCTGTTAAACGCCAAGCACATGCTCTTCAGACGTGGCAACCAGCTGTGTCAGGCGTCCGGGAATCAATAGGTTTGAAAACACCCAAATGTGCTGAAAGGACACAGATAGGGAACGTGTTGCCGTCACAGCAAAACTTGATGAAATAGGCTGAAATAGCCTTGGGGAAGTTACACCAAGCTGTCAGTGAACACAAATGGCTCATTCCAATCCACTTGATCCATTTTTTTCAACAAAGTTTCTTGGAGGAAATAAGAAGCCTTTCATGGCCAAAGTCTCTTTACCAAGCAAATTACTTCAGAATACTATCAGTTGTATTCATTTTATTATCAGCAAACATATATACATCTATTTGCCTCTGTTAAATCAGATTACTCGCCACATAAAATGGACAAGCAGTAAGAAAAGAGGATTTTCATAAATCAAAGCACAGATTTAAAAAAAGCAAACAGTTTGATCGGCAGGAAAAGGAAGAGGGAATGAACGTAAGTGGTTTGTGAAAATCATGCTCGAGTCAAAGTGAAAGTGTCATGTTAGAACTGAGGAGCACACCTCCAGAGGCCCGAGTGATGGCTTACCTGTCCTGAAGGACCCCTTTGGGCGGAGTCCTAACTCGTGCCTGTCTCCTCAGGGTAGGACGTGAGAAAGGTAAGAGGAGAGAAGGTCAGACTGGGTAGTGCAACCCGTAGGAGCTTGTGCTTCCCGACACTGGGGTTTGTCATTGGGAGGGCGAGCGCAGGGGGCTGCAGGCCAGCCCGACTGACTGGGCGACTGAATGAGTGGGTGGGCGGGAGGGTGTCACTTTGACTGTTGTCATTGGTATTTAGTTCACAAGCAGATGGGTGACTAAATTTAGAGCACCGCCGCTACTGCTCGATGGGCCCTCCATCTAGCCATCTATCTTCCTGCCAGCAGCAGGAGGATCAATATTACTGATTTCAAACCAGGAGTATCCCAGCGGGTATGTCCGCACTTTATTAAGTAATAAAAAATGATATTAGATTAAAATTAGCATGGCGGCGGAAGAGTTGACACAGTCCGTGTAGCTGGAAGTTATGGGTAATGCTAAAAACAGATGATAAAGGATTGACATTAAATCGTGTTTTATAGAATTTATTCAAAGAGACAAAAAAATGATGGGTAGAGTGGATAAAGGGGTGACTAGTTAATCTGCTGTGGGGGCTATTTTACAAAAAAGCCTGTGAATCATTGGTCTATATTATTCCTGCTTGCTTCACTGTGGTTTACCTCTTCTCAAGTCACCTTGACTACCTGAGAATGTGTAGCCTGTTTCTGTGGCATAGTGAAGGTCAATACAATACAATCTTTGGTCTAAACTGCAAAGCAAAGAGCAATAAGCTGTTGCAACCTAAAGATTTTACACATATACATTAATTAGAAAGCTCCTACAGGTTTAGAATACTCTTGGAAACCACTGACAAAGCTTTTACATAACAAATTAAGTTGTTTCAGCTGCAGTTGCCTTAGTCAGCGCTCCAGGATTGCGGCTAACAATAATTATATTCAGTGACATATTGCGTGGGAACATTACCCCCCGAGGACCTACAGACCATCAGATGCTATTTGTTTTAAATGCCATCATGTGATAAAGGACGAAGACCTAATAAGGTGCACTCACTTTGTAATCCAGTCACGATGCTTTTATTTACTTTGCTCGATTTAATTTACCTCTTACCAATATAATTCCTAACTTAATTACAGAGACAAATAAAGGAAGGTAGGTCGAGTTTGCAGCACGGTGCAGGGAAGGGAAAGCATAAAGTTGGATGGTAGCAAGTTGGCATGAAAAAAAACATCAAATTAAATATTTCAAAGTGCTGTGCATTGCGTGCCACCATTTTAATAATGTTTGAAATCCTCACAGTATTTTTGACATTTGAACAGGTAGGGAAATGATTTCTGTTTGTCATCTCCCTCGGTGTCTTTATGTCTCATTCTCCATAGTTCTGCTACAGTAGGTACGCACTGTTATTATGTAACTGGTGGTCACCATAGGAACAAGCCCCCACCAACCCCTCCCTAGACCCCTCCGCTGGATACGGAGCGAGTGACTCTTCAAGACAACACGTCATACAAATAGCTTCATGGGATGGCACAGCAAGCATCTTGTGGCCCAGGGCCAAGCATGAAATAATAGGAATAGAGAGCAAAGAGCACAAAAACACTGTACAATTTGTGAACCAATTCTATTTGCTTGTGTTTATTTTTCAAAAGGCTTTGAGAATCCATATCTGAAATAGTTTGGAGCAGAAATTAATTACTGGTGTTACATTATGACCATAAGTGCTGTCTGAATGGAAGCAATGCAGTATAACCATCTCAGACACTATGTGTCAGGATGCCGAGTCAGATGAGGCAAAACACGACGACGTGTGCTGAATGTTATTCATGTTCATAAGATCGCTTGGTGAGAATCACATTGGGATATTATTTACTCTGTGGGAACACAAACTTTGCTCTAATCTTTGGAGTCTATGCAGAAAGCCCAAACCAAACGCTAATCACAAACTCATTACCTACTACAAGCAATTCTCCCAGTCCCAAGACCTACCAGCGAGATTTATATTTCACTCTATTCAGAATTAGGACTAAACAACATTGGTCAATTCTAGCTATGAGTGTAATGGGCCAATTCAGTTTAGGTGCCCCAAAAAAAAACCCCAATCTTTAGTTAGTGGTGTTCTAATGCACTAATTAAAATGCACCTGGAAAATAAGTGTATTGTTGGGCCCTCCACTCTGCTAAAAGTTATTAGAGATGCTGAGTCATAGCATTCATCTTTTAAGCCTCATGTCTAATGCATAAATAATTGAATGAGGGTGGAATTATTTGCTCAACTGGAAACACTGCAAAAGTCCTCATTTGTTTGATTGAAAAAAAAGTGTGCAATCACTGCATGCTAAATACACACCACATCCGCGGCAGAAACTTTAACCAAGAGAAAAATTCACAAACTTAAAACAATTGGGGTCACTGTTTCTTTCTCCCTTTTAGCATCCTCAGAAACATCTTTTCTTAGGATATTGTAATAAACCTGTGTCCTACATTTTGAAGGCTTAACAGTCAACAGTTACAGTTGTCTCCAGATATCCTGTTATTTTATAATCAATCATTTCTCTATTCTTCCCAAACCTGTCTATTCCCTCATTTGAATCAACATCATTTTACTCTGACTTACATCTTACTCATCGTACAGGCCAACTTCCGAGTACTTACCAAACTACAAAGTTGTCATTTGAATGTTTTAGAGATAATTCGTTAATTACTCATATGTTGTAAGAGTAATCATCCCTTTTCACATTTGATTATGGCATTCATTAGATTTCATCTTAATCTTTTACACTTATTTGTATTCAACAGCAAAAAGAAAAAATAGTAAATCAGAGAACCACAATCATTCTAGCAATCTGTCCAGCTCACTCACCATGTTATTGTTTGTTATAATATCAGTTAAAAAATGAAACGTTCCTCAATTTATTATGGGATCAGCAAAACGAGTTTTCTTATCACACTGGTTGAGTTGTGTTCTACCGCCTCCAACTCCAAGTGTTGCTGGTGTACGCAGACTTGTAAGTCTGTTCTCCCGCGGGCCTCTTGGACTCAGAGCAGGACACTGGGGGCCTCGGGTTTGCCTGCGTGACTGACCTCTGAAGCTGCCACTGTCTGGGCAGGGACCGGTAATCAACGTGACGAGCCGGGGCGGACCCAAAGGACGGCAGCGGAGCTCTGCTCTGACTGCCGCTTTGGCTCGGCCTCCAAGTCTGGCTGCCTGTCTTCGGCCGGGCGTCGTAGGACACCCTGGCTTTCCACTCTGCCGGCGGCTCAGGCAACATTTTGCGCTGGGCTGCCATGCGGACGTTTGTCGCCAGGCTTTGCTGGAGGTTCTGGAAAGCAAAGGCTTCATCCACCAGGCCCAGGGGATGGCGGGAGGCGGCCTCCCAGGGCATAAGGGGTTTGCGGCCTTTGTGTGGCCATGACGCCTGTCGTCCTGCGAGGGCTGTAGCCGGGGGCTTGGGAGAAGAAGACGGTACTGTGACTGGTGGGGAAAGGGAGTAGCTCCTGCCATGTAACTGGAAAGAAAGATTCAGACATATTTATTTTAGTAAGGATTTTCACACAGCTTGCAAAACCTAGAAAAATAGAAAAAAAAAATTTTAGGTGCTATAATACTCATATGTTGTATTTCATTATTAATTTCATTCTCTTTTTTATTATTGAATGAACTTTCACAAGCTCTAATAAACATTATTTCAAACTAATTGTTGACTTTATTGTCCTATAGTAAGCCTCCTCAACCCAGTGATTTAGCATTTGTCCAAACATAGTGGAATGCCCTCGTTTCATAGAACTGGATTATGGGCTTTCCAGAGTAACCCACAGTCATTTTTTTTCCATTGCATCTGCTCTGCAGTACAGCAAAAGGTAAGTATGAAAATGAGATTTGGAATTTCATATTTGTATTTTGAGATGGTGTAATGTAAACTAATACACACATTAGGATGCATAAACAGACAAAGGTTATGTAGAATGACAAAGCTCCTCTGTACCCTACATCGTGTCTGACAATACATTATTTTGGATATGGCAGATGTGGAGAAAAGGCAGTGCTGCCACCATCTGGCAGAAGATGTAAAAGATGAGCAGACGGCAAGGGGTGGCAAAAGAGAAAAGAACAAAGCAGACGATAGTGCCGTCATAGAGAAATAAGACTAGCTGAATGAGTAAAAGGTAATAAATGACCGTTATCAGTTATCTGGTAGGCCTAAAGGGCCTCTGGCAGTAGTATCCTGGATTAGAGTTTACACAAGAAAGGACGAGCAGATTACTAGATGATGTATTAATATCTTTTTAATTCTGGAAATTGACAAAAAAACAGTATGCCTTGAATTGCGTATGCAGATTTTAACATGTCTAGCAAGGACATATTTTTTTATTTTGGGTCTATTTCATTTGAGAGTGGAAGGTGTTCTGCGTTGCTTTGAATAAAAATGTGATACTAAGTCTCAGATTCCAACGTTTAGTGGTGTCAACATACATTTGACATTTGCATTATGGTGTGGTCTCTGAACCTAACGTGACTTGTTTTGTCTCCATTTTATTAAGACTTTATTGCATGAAGTCTGAAACAAACATTTAAAATCTAAATATGTACTTGTGTGTGTTCACAACAGTTACAGCTGGAATAAAGACCAGAAAAGCTGTGGTAGGAATAAGACTCCTCCAGATGAAGCTGCAGAAGATCTGCCAACTAAAGACATATATTAAAACTTCCATTGAACCCATAACTGCGCTTGCTAAAAATGCATGACTCAACTAAGCAGTGGCCCACTCACTTGTCCAATGAGGCTGCCCGTATTCCTTGAAGTCACCAGTCTAATAATATCTCTCATGAAGTCATCATCCATATGTCATTCTGCAGGAATGTGCTTTTCAAGCATTCACCTCAAATGCAACATAAGTACACAATTTTGATAACGAGATTTTTCTGGCTCGTGTTAACAAGCTCTTTATAGTTGATATTGAAAACTGATTTTTAACGACTATCTTTGCAGGAAGATACAAATGGGTGTAATGGTACTTAAAACTTAAAGATACTTCAGTTTCAACTTACTGATTCATGAGTCAATATGGAACTGCGGATGGTAAAATTTGCAAAGTGATAAATTAAAGCAAGGTGAAAAGGAAAGGTCAAAGAAATGCCCCAAACCATGCAAACAGGTCAAAAGAAAGGAAAGTCAACCAAGGATAAAATACATTTTAATGGTAGTGCAGTAAATGATATAGAAAGAGCACTATGAAGAGAAACACACAAAGAAAAGGGGAAAAGAAAAGACACAAGAACAAAAGCAGCCTTGTACTAGCTAATTAAACTTTCTTGGCTTGAAACTTCAAATAGTCCTTGTTATGTATATAATACAACGGGATAAGATGTATGGAAGAGTGAACCCATATGAGGGCGTGTCCTTAACTATATATGTCTCTGTTATCAGAAAAAACAAACAGGTTCCGAGTATCTTTTATTGGCCTTAATTGAAATTCAAGCCTACTATCCCTGGACCTTAGCACTCCCTCTCATAAGGCAGTTTAAATATAGTACCTAACATGACGCAACAGCTGGTAGGAGGCTTGAAATAAAACTAACTCACTGAAATAGGTGCTATGGAGAAGACACTGGGAAGAGAAACACAAATCTTCATTTGACGTTGTTGTTTTTGTGGGTATCCTTATTCCCTACAGACAGATTTTTACTTCTTATTTTATGCAAGTTGATTGTATTTAAATTGTTTTGTGAATTGTTTTGGCCAGTTAATAATTTATTTGAAAAGAAAAACTATTCCTATCATCACTGCCCGATACCATTCACTGATCTATTTTTTCTCACACACCCTTCTTTCAATTCTTACTGAGCATCTTCCCCCCCTCTACATTCTTACATCGCCAAACCTTCAGTTAAAATGTTACATTCATTTTCATTAAATAACCATTTGCATCCCTTTCTATAACCATGATGAAATGTGCATGCTTTAAAAACATGTCTAGTCAAATTTGGCTCCTTTGTATCTAGTAAGATATGCTTACATCCCACTCGTTCTTCTTTCTTATTTGTTTACAATGGCATCTCTTAAAATTGTAAACACCATCCAGCTCCGCCCTATGACAATAACTGGAGCAGATGGATGTAAATATAGGCCTCTGCCTTTATAGTTCAAATAGTTCACTGCAGTAGACTTCAAGAGCACAAACCCTTTGACTCTAGCATATCACAACTTTACCAGAATCACTCTTTATCAACTGCAGTGGGCTTCCACACCTGAGCTGAGCTCTTTTTAGCAGTGAACCTGGGTTTAGGAGCAGCTGCAGTGTTGCCACCTGCTGCAGATTCAGGCCTTGCAGCTATAGGAAAGCTAGGAGCAACATAGACACTGGGAGCCTGTGGCTGGTAAGATACTGAAGGAGGTGTCAGGTAGGGAGGGCTATTGGCCGGTTGGTAAAGGGCCTGTGGTGCATGTTGGTAGGGAGGGTTTGGAGAGTGAGGAGCTTGGGGATGATAAGCAGGTGGGGCAGGTTGCTGATACGTTTGTTGATTATATGCTTGCTGGTATGGTCCGCCAGGGGGTTGCTGATAAGGATTGGAGGGAGGATAAACATTGGCTGGGTTTTGCTGGTAGTGGCCGTCATGCATCGTTGGCTGCATTGGCATCCCATAGACTTGCTGGGGGTATGGTGCATTAAATGGTGCAGCTGGCTGAGTGAGGGCTATTTGCTCATATCTAACTTGGTTGGTTGTCAACAGGTGGATTAGGGAGGTGGAACAGTCTGTCTTAGCCTTCAGGAGGCTTGGCAGCTTCTGCGGCTGGGCCAAAGTAAAGCAGTGAGGCATTGAGTTGATAGGGTTGATGCTTCATAACCTCTAAAACACTTGAGGGGTTTAGGCTTCTGCTTCTCTTTGCCTTTTTTATTGGCTTTGGTTGAAGGGCTACTTGTAGGGGGCTGCTTTGTTGCCGCTGGGGGGTAAGAAGGGGACAAAATAGGATTATATCCCCGTGATGGGGGAGCACGTACGTTAGGTGTATATTTCCACTCATTCGGTAATGAAGCTGCTGGCGATTCCGGCCGGCTAGTCTTGTTTGCTTGCACAGTCTCAGAGTCCACAACAAATTTCTCCATACGAGACTGCCTCTTCGCGAACATATCGGCTCCTTTCCCCCTGACAGCTGGCATCTCAAAAGCTGAACCTTGGGATGATGGGTTTAGGACAGTGGCCATTGGGTTGATGGGTGGGGAAACTCTTTGACCGAAGGTTAAAGAGTGCATTCGCTGAGGCGGAGGCGGAGGGGTCTGGTTCTGTGGGATATTTTGTGGTGATTGCCATGGTTTTGGAGACGGACGAGTGTTCACCATTGACGAGGAAACATTCACAGGCTCTTGCTGTGACTGTGGTGCCCAAGTATTTACAGGAGCCTGAGGTTGTGCCTGATGTGGAGGCCATGCATTCATTGGTGGCAGTGGTGGAGGCTTTGAAGTGGATTGTTGCCAGTTTGACTGTGGTGCTTGCTGGGGTGGAAGTGGTTGTACCCAAGGTGGTTGAGGTTGGGTCTGATTTTGCTGTGGAGCCCAAGAATTTACAGGTTGCTGGGCCCATGACGGTGGTGACTGAGCCTGGGCAGGTACTGGCAGCCATGGGTTTAAAATGGCCTGAGGTTGCGCCGGTGGTTGTGGTTGGGCTGCTTGGATCCAAGGGGGCTGAACTTGGTCTTGAGTTTTTGATGGAGGCCATGCATTGATTGATGGTTGCTGTTGATGTTGAGGCTGAGCTGAGACCCACGGTGGTTGAGGCTGACCTGGCGCTGGGGCCTGTGGCCATGTTTGTTGTGGAGTCTGATGCTGTGGTTGAGGAGCCCAGGGTGGTGGTGGCTGGGATTCTGGCTGAACCGGTTGAGCCCATGGAGGTTGTGCTTGGGCTTTTTGCTGAGGTTGTTGTACCCATGGTGGTTGATGCTGAGAGTCCGTTTGTGATGGCTGTGGCCATGGGGCTTGGGGATGCTGCTGCATTGATTCCTGAGATTGACCCCAAGTTGGTGGCAATTGCTGCAGATTTGGCTGCTCATGCAAGTGTACCCAGGGTGGCTGAACTTGTGCTTGAGACTGTGGTTGCTCTTGAGGCTGGTTCCAGCATGGCTGAGCTTGGGTCTGGGCCTGTGCTTGCCCTTGAGGCGGAGCCCAGGATGGCTGAATTTGAGGGGTCCAAGTATCTGTGAGGGGTTGAGGTTGTGCTTGGGATTGACAATGTTGTCGAGTGATCCAAGGGGGCTGTGGTGGGGACTGGCTATGAGGTGGTTCCATGGGCTGCGCTTGAGCTGCTTGCCAAGAACTGGTAGATGGCTGCTGTTGTACTCGGGTTTGTGCTGGAGCCCAGCTAGGAACAGGAGCAGGCTCAGGCTGCAGGGTAGAAATTGCGTGATTATTTTCCTCCTGAGCTGTCACTTGCAGAGGCTGTTGAGATTCAAGCTCCGGGGGAGTCCATGTGTGCTGTCCCTCTGTGGTGGCTCTAGTTGGAGTTGCCTGGGGGATGGCGGGGGTGGAGAGCTCAGGGGCAGGTGTTAAAGTTGGCTCTGGTTCTGGAGCAGGGGTGGTCTCTGTGGTGGGGGCCACAGCAGGTGTGGATACACTATTTTCAGCTTGTTGAGGCATGTCCTCGTTGGTCCCTTCCATCTGTGGTGACCAAGGAGGAGAGTTTGGGTTGATCACAGGCTTTGGGGCTACTGGTGGAGGTGTCTTGTGTTTAATTTGTTGAGACTGCAAAAAATTACAAGCCTCAGCTCCAAGGCTAAGGTAGTCTTCCTCAGGTCCTGACTCAAATCCCTTCTTATCCTTTCTGTTAAGTAGGTTAAGCAGTGCTGGGTTAGGTGATACTTTTGGTGCTTCTTTAAATGTGAACATAGGCTTTCCTGCATTTCGTCTCCTTGAGTCCGACAAAAGACCAGTCCGGCTTGCAGGGGTAGAAATGCGCTCATCCCGGGAAGCTATCTGCTCTCCTTGACTCACAATATCTTGATTGGCCCTACTCATTGCGGGAGAATAAGGGGTAGCCGGGATGTTTTCTACTGAGAATGGCTTTGCAGTACGGTTGTTGAAAGAACCCTGCATTTCACTGGTTTGATGTTGGACTACGCCATTAGTGTTTGAAGAATAGTTCTGCATTTGCTGTAGCTCTTGGTGACATTCTCGCTGCTGCTGCTGCTGCTGCTGCTGATACATTTGCTGTTGTTGATAATGCTGTTGTTGATAATGCTGTTGTTCATACTGTTGCTGTTGGTACTGTTGTTGATGTTGTTGTTGGTAGTTCTGTTGTTGCTCATAGTACTGCCGTTCCTGATATTGTTGGTAATTTTGTTGCTGTTGGCCTTGTTGGTGTGTATTTACATCCATGTAAGCATGGCCCTCTGTTGTGGATTGCGTGTAGGAGTGGTCTTCTCTCTTCTCTTTAACCACCGACACTGCTTCCACGGGAATCCCCTGACGCCTCAGCTCGTCATGTTCAGCAGAAATCTCATCCATCCTTTGACGCCGTTGGGCAAACATTGAGGCACCCTTGCCCTTGGTTTCAGGCAAACATTCCATCTGTGCCTGGTTGTTCAGCTTCCTTTCAATCTCAAGGAGGCTGTTGTCCCAATTGATAGTTAGCACCCCTTTGGTAGAGTGGGCATTAGTGAGGAAATGCTTGTCTATTTTAGAACCGTTTGGAGCCACTAGGGTAAATTCAACAGCATGGGTTTCTTGGTTCTCTATCTCGTTTTCCTCGTCCTCTTCGTCGCTGTACTCTGGTTCGTCTTCCCCCGTGCCGTAGCTTACAAGTGTGTATTTCTTGGCCCTCTGTCGATGTTTCTTGAACATCAACACCCCCTTATTGTTGGGGTTGGGCGGAGCAGCCGTAAGAAGGAGAGCAATGCGTTTACATTTGGACTTGACTTCTTTCACATGCTTCTCAGACAGACTCTCGCTGCGCCTGAGCCCTGTGTAGAGAAGAGAGTTCAGGGTTTAGAATAAACGGGTGTACCTGTAATGTGAGTATAGCGGTTCATTATTTATCTGCAGAATAAAAAGAGCTTGCCCAAATTGACAAGTTGGAGGATAAATTAAGTTTAAGTTAACAAGTTAAGCAAGTCCCCAGCACTTAACTTCAGCATATATAACATTAAACCTGTAAATTAATACATACATCTGTAATACGTTTAAAAAACGTTTGTTCACATTAAAAGCAGAAATAACTAATAGAGGATGTACTCTAAACACAACAAATATCCTATAAAATTAGCTATGAACTTATTCCTTGACAACACACAACAATTCTCATTTCAAATGTTTGGTTCAGTTGAAAACAATACAACATTTGAAGGATTAGAGAAAGATTTAAAGAGAGCCTTCATGCAATAAAGGCCTACACCGTATTTACCAGTCCCTATCTGTAAATTCACGGGCTCTCACCCAAAGCCGTCTGTCCTTCTGAAATTCTGTCACACTTGCTGAGTCAGGCCAATGCAAAAAACAGACATCACACAACAACAAAGCCTCTCAAACCATCTAACCGCGCAAGACTGAAATATAATAATTCATTTGTCATAATCCTGCAAGACTAACCTGACGGTGAAGGAGCCAGCGGGAGTGAGCAACAGGCTCACTTTTTTAGCTCAGTTAAAGCACCCGGTTTGAGAGGATCAGATAACAATCTAGGGGAGCACATGCTGGTGTCTGTCAAAAGGCCACTTCTGCAGGCATCATCAGCGTGCTGGTGTGATATTTATGTCTTCTACACAGTTCAGAGGAGTGCCTCAGTATAATCATCAAGCCTCTTCAAATGAATGGCTGAAAGGTTTCATAAATTGTAGTAACTTCTTGCAAGCGATTTTTTGTCATCCTTTTGATTCTTTAAAATAGATTTTGCAAACTGTTGCTATTCCGTGCCTCAGCACTATCCCTTGTATTCTGTAATTCAGGTTAGACCCGGAAGTATGTGTGTCCATTTGAAAGAATGAGTACCATCTGCCAACTGCAGTGAGAGGCTTGCACTATTTTGAGGAGCGCACACAGGGCCCAGCAGGCAAGAATGCACACATGTCGCAGAAAAAAGCCATTTACTGTTCACCTATCAGCATGCAGATCCCCCTTAAAGAGTGGGTCGTTATTATGCACACTCAAAGAAAGAATGCACACCAGGAGAATACCCCCTGGTGCAAATGGAAATAGCACATAGGTACTTACTGGCGTGTCTTGCCCGATGCTTGTTGGGTTTGTCTTGATCCCCCTCAGAATCAGAGCCGTGCTCTTCAGCTGCTGTCGCCTCTTCTGAGGGAATTTCAAAAGAGACGGTGAAAGACCCGGGAACTCCCTCGCACTGCCCTCCGCCTTCTTCTCCTTCACTATGGGATCCAACACTTCCACCGACCCCGGGGCCACCCACACTCGGGAGGCCCCTCCCTGCTCCTGATGCTGCTGGCTGCTGCAAAATCAACTCCACCTGTCCCAGCTTCGAAGGCGAGCCCAGCACCACCCCATGCTGGCCGAGCGGCTGCCTGAGAGGACACTGAACAGGGTGTGATGCTGTGTCGGGGCGGATCATCTCAACAGCTTCTTTGTTTGAGAGTTCTCCGTCTATCCCATGAGCACTCCCAAGAGAGGTGAAACCGACATCGTCCAGAGTTTGGTTGGACAGGGACACCTGGAACTCCACCACGGCCCCGGGCGAGAAGCGCTGCAGTCCTTCTCCATCATTTTCCTGAAAGTCGTGCCCCCTTCCTCTCCCGTTACCAGATGATGGAACATGTAGCTCGGTGTAAAGCAGCTTGGGTCCCTTGGGAACCTCTGTGTCAATGCCCAACTCCCCATAGTAAGCCTCATCCCTTGGGCTTTGTGACCCGTGCCTAGCGGTAAAGATGTGTAGGGTGGTGCTCTTTAAAGTCTCATCAGTGGAGTCCCTCCCACCACAGTCCGTCTCTTCTGATTCAGCTTCTCCTGGAGGGGTGGTGGAGTATCTTTAAGAGAAAAGGGGAGAACGAGGAATGAGTGAAGGGGGAAACCTTTCTTTGTTCAGTAACCATTGTTGATCACATGTCACTTCTTATATTACAAGTTATTATGACAAGGCATCTGGCTTTTGAACAAGTGCATTTAAACATACGTGAATTTGAGCACTTATATTCTTTTTCTTTTTTCCCTTCTATAAAACGTTCTAACCTTTACAAAACCACTGGAATAAGAATGCATCATCACTGAGGATGGTTGACGAAGTAAAGCTCGTCTTTCAATGCTGAAGATATCAAAGTAATCAGGCAGATTTAATCTTCATGCCGCAAGTTAAATGGCAGAGGGTCAGGTCACTCAAGAGGAAAGTAACGTTTTGACGTAGCTCAGTCTAATTTCCACTTTCAAGGGCAGCAAGCAATAGCATAACAGAAGGTCATTACCTCTGACTGCACTTATTACATCTAAGTTGAATTAATCTCAGTGAGTACTCGTTTTCTGTGACATGTCATCATACATTTTGATAGCTACATGTTGAGGTCGTTCGGGTTGTACTGTCTTGTAGTCTAAGGAACAATCTTGCACTTTCATTATAGTCCTGCTATAATGACAGTGACACTCCTGTGGTCACATTAATCTATATGCAGCCATATTTGTAACAAACACGTTCGCATTACCCACTGGTGGCTGACTCACTAATGCACATAGTACACGCCAGCCGTTGGTTCACTGAGCAATGCAAAAGTTCACTGGTCATAAAACCACATGCCATCTAGATGGTAACACAGTGCCACAATAATACTTTTCGCATTGTTTTTGCAAATGCTCACGGTAGACAGATACTAGACGTACAGAGTACCACTTCACTGTTATTAATCTCACATGAGGCCCGACCTTTTGACGAGAAGCTGCAGACAGTCGATCGATGTGTCGATGAGTGTGAAGGCCTGTGATAAAAGGAGATTGGCGCACGGCTCTCCGTTGAGAGACACCACCTCATCGCCTTCCCGCACTCCGGCTAGGAAGGCACGACTCCCTTCTTCCACCTGCGAATGGCAAAATATCGGTCAGTGTCAATCATCATAGATCAACATCATCTTCGCGCACACAATTCCCACTACACTGTACAACTAATCTCAGTGTCAGATAAAGCAAACAATCATTAGCTAATTCCCACTGCAATGTACAATCACTGATATCAAAGACATGGTAAGGTGAATCATTTAAAGAGAGGCCAGTTTAGCTTTTATTTAACCATACATGACTGATGAATTAATTTCCGTGTAATTGGTTCCAGAAGCACATACAATGGTTCATTAAAAAGAGGATTTAATAAGGAGAAATACCCCATGAATGGCACACAAAAGGCTATTTATACAGCTAGGTGGATAGATTAATTGTTCAGTACGATGCAATTAAGGACAGGCCTCCAAATATCTCAAGATACTTTTGCGGATACTACAAACAGTTTCAACAGTTTTTTTCCATAAATTGTAGAACTGCTACAGGCTCATTTCAAAACGTATCCATCTCCCAGTTTATTTTAACAACATGACTCCCGGAGAGTCTATGCAGCGTTCTAATGCATTGTTGGAATTGTATGTTATAATGATAAAGGAAAACAAACCTCACTTCTCTCTTCATTGACACACGTCCGCTATGAACTACTTGCAGTAAAACCGTCTCGTCACTAGATGGCAATGCAGGCAAATATCCTTCACACGACTATGTGTCAACACAACATAAGCGCTGGAAAGACTGCGATTTCTGCCTTTTATTTCTATTCTTACAGAACCGTAAGACAGTAAGTCTGAGCCTAGTTTTCTAGACATACAAAGTATTTCATAAGTCAATTTAAAGAGCTGGCAAACTTTCAGGTAAAACCCCTCTGACTCCACGCCTGGGAAATTGAGAGTCGTTGACGGTGTGCAAGGAGGCCCTATAAGGCCACCTGTGTGCCTGTGTATTGGGACGCCTCATTACAAGGAGGACAGATTGTCTGGAACGCCACGCACATTTGTCGGGGTCTCTCCTCGCAACGCAAAGTAACAAAGGCAGTCACACAAAGACAGTCGCGCGATGTTCACAGGAGGCAGATACCTCCCATTGTGTCATTCGCTTTTTTTTTACCATATGCTGCTTGTAAAAAGAAATACCGTCTATATGCCCTTGTTATCCTGGGTCGTCCGTTTTCAAATAGTCTATTTACGAGGCCTCAATACAACCAAAAATCACAGGAAATACGGGACTGCATAATGTGTCCACATCGCTCCCGGCGGTTCCTGCCCTTCACAGCTTTGAGCAATTATGTTGTATTTGAGGAAAATATTTTCCAGCTGCCGTACAGGTAGCAACAATAACATGCCGTGTCTTTATTCTTTTGTGTATCCTTCTCTTGCCTTGGAGGAGAAACAAAAGAAAAACTTTATTCACATGAGTGATATGAAGAACAAATAAATTGGGACAGGTGTAGTTATCGCTTATTTACACTTTCCCACGCTGAATTATATTGTAGTAGAGTAAAAGTAGTAGTTTATATATCCTTTACTTGCACTGGTTATGAGTTTTTGAAGCCTACACGAATATTATCTGAGCATGATTTATTAATGAAACTTTGCTAAACAAACGATCAAACTAAAAGTGAATAAGTCTGGTTAGTTATGTCACTGCCCCTAGAGAACTTTATATTAATCTGTGTTTTTTTGGTTTCACGTCCTTCAAGCCTTCTGAAAATAAATAAATCGCCAAACCGCTCTTGGGTGCACTGAAACCTGCTTTGTCATACAGCTGAAAAACAAGGCTGTTGGTGAGTCACATTGAAGTCCAGCTTTGGCTCCAATGCCACAATAATATCATCAGAACATTTAGCAGCAGACCAATGGTCTTAGTTTGTTTACACAATGAGATACAGAAAAAGGGGAAAACTAGCTCAGTCATCAACCGAGGTCAATACTTCATCCCAGGACTGGGATGTAAACGGTTTGCTGAAAAACTCTTTGCCAAAAACACCAGTAATGGAGGGAGCATTTAAGCACTTTGTTTGCTCTGGGCAAAAAAAAGGCACTGCATGAATGAAGCAATGTCATTTTCCTGATTACTTGGCAGCTTAATATGGTTCCTAAAGTGAACAATAGGACTGAAAAGTTGTCAACTTCAGCCTCTTTGCTCTATAAAGTGCAAGTTAACCCGGGTAGAGGAAGATAATTTGTATAACTAGCTAAATATGTGAAATACGTGAAAATGCAACAGGAAAAACATTGGGATTTGTTCATACTAGTATAGACTATAATGACTACGGTTTTCAGACTTTTATTAAGATTACATTTTCTTTGTCATCCAGCGGTCTGAAACTGATCTGATGCATGATGACATTCCACATACCAAGTTGGCATACCTTAGTAATTAGGAGACCAAAATGTCTCCTATTCAAGGTTGCAAATAATCATTTTGGTACAGCTGTTACACATAAATAGATGAGAAATAAACCTGATTGATCCTCTTATACTCAGGTGTGATCGTGTATTTGTGGGTTACATCTCCTCACACAGTGTTGTGTTGTGCAGTTTCTGTAGCTTTAAAAAAAAAAAAAAAAAAAAAAAAAAAGGTGACCTCATCCACTTTTTACTCAGGCCAGGACTCCAAAGAAGCAGCAAAATACGGCCTCCCTTATATGGACACAACCTTTACGGAGTGGATCCCCCGTGCTTACTCTCTACTGTCTGTCAGTACACTGACAACAATCACTTTCTCCCAGGAAACAAAACACAGTTTCCACTACATCCAACAGAAGCTTTAAAAAACACACGTTTTTTCCAACAGAGAGCTTATGGCCGAAGAGTATTTGTCATGATCATGGTATGTTTGCTTTTTTGCCTTTTAACTGACAGACTTGGCTCTCTATCCTTCATCCCTCAAGAGGAGTTTGGAGGTTTATATGCCTTCCAGATGGCGTGGACTAAAAAAAGCCATGTCATAAGCATCCTATAGGCATCTCACTTTAATAGGTCAACACTTAATTGCGGCGTGTTCAACAAGACTGCAGGCTAGAATACTCTCAACACCTCATTTATGTCTCAAATTAGACAGTAAAGTTCGAAAAGAGAATGAATACTTACACATTAGAAGTAGGGGGCATTCCCCCATATGGGGATAATGATAATATGTGCACATATGAAATGAACAAGTTTGGGACCGGCTGAGAATCAACATGAAATGGTTGTTCCAAAATCATGATTGGATGTTAAAGGTGTCTGCATGCTACATGTAGTACTTTGCCTTTTTCCTTTTGTTTAAAATACAATATTGGAAAACTATTTCAAGAAAGACCAGCATATAAGGGTATAAAATAATATTCTGAAACAAGCCACTGACTAATTAGTGACGATATATCCTCTTATGAGCAGATATTTATGAGCTAGTTTGAAGCTTCAGTCAATGTGTATCCACCAGCTCAATAAAGACACAATTTCTTGTGTACTAATGCAAGAATAATGTATATATTATACAAAAGAAAATCCAAATAACAAGTCAAAAAGTCAAAAAACATTAGTTGGAAACGTGTCTGCAAAGTGTCCGATCTATTGATGATTTCAGAGTGCACTTTCTTTTGGTGGCGCTTTGATGTCGCTGGAATGCAGCTTAACAAAAACATTTACATGTTCACCACATGGAGGACAAGTTGATAGGGATCTGCACTGTGCAAACGTGCACTGCTATACCATATATAGAGTCTCAGGGGCTCATCAAAGCGCCTTCACCTCTCTCACTACACATTAACGTCAACTGGAAAATACCTAAAGGTAATCTAGAAACAGCTGTATGCATAGACATTTCTTCTCGACGTCTTAATTAGACACACTTCAGAATGTCATCTAATCTATTTGAGTTTCATCTTATGATGCATATGCTTAAACAAATGTAATACATTATGTGTAAAATGAATATAGCATGCAAGAAACAGTAGTCCAGAGGATAGGCTGTTTGTGAAATGAACGAATACATCACAAAAGCAAATATATCAACGATATGGGTTGAAGAATGAGCAAAAGTCATGGTGTGTGAATCATGTCAGCAAAGCTAAGGTAAGCCAGCAAAGGTTTATTGGTATACACTGTTTCACATACACAACACACAACACTTGTGACAGATGGGCAAATGTGTAAACAATTGATATGCAGTTTGAGCATAAATAGCCTAATGCAATGAACACTGTGTATCTTTCAATATTGGCACAAAATGTCACTCTGCCTGCATCACAGGAAAAGTAGCCCCATCACAGGACAGATGAAATGATCATATTTTACCTGTGAGGTTTATTACCACGCTATCAGGCCAAACAAATATTATGGAGCCAAAGCAGTTAGAGCATAACCTACGATTTGCCTACCCTTCGCTCTATTTGAATGTTATTCTGAAGGGACCTCAGCTCGTTCTGGCTGCCTTTTCTTGTTTGTTTGCGTTGGTATTTGGCCATAATGTCCACATTTCAGTGCTCAGGCGGTGTCACTCATCCGGATAATGCTTTGCTTTCTTGCTGAAGTCTTTGAGAGCGATAACAGATCACACTGCCCTGAGCTTCACACTCTCTCTTGGCCTTGACCATATAAGGGGCTCGAGGAATCTCGCACCAAAACACAGCCAAAGCACTCGAAAATGCAGCAACACACAGACTTAAATTCCCTCCCACTGAGGTTTTATCGAATGCATTACTCAACAAAACTTGATTAAAAAATTGATTTTGTAAGCTAACTTTGATACTACTAATACTTCATCAGACTAGACTCTTATTTTTGCAGTGAAAGCCTGGAATTATCAGAGCGCAATAACAGAAAAACATGGCATAACCCTGTTTTATATCAAATTGGAAACTCAGTGTCAAAATGATGGGTCATCAAACAGATTGTATAGCCTACCTGGGAGACTAAGAAAGGTCTGGAGGTGTCCCCCTCTCCCTCCCTCAGGGAGAACCCCCAGGGTGCGCCACCACGCAGCGTAACGCAGATGTAATCCCCGGTGCCCATGGTGCGAACACCTCCTCGGCGCTATCATCGGGCCGTCAGCCGGACCAGCAGCACTTTGCGAACACCACCTCCACCACAGCGCAGTATGATCCCCATCATCTGAGTCCAGCCCGCTGGAGAAACGTCACGGCGCGAGGACCCGCCTGCAAGCGCGCCACACGCAACTGGTGGTTTGTCAGAGAAAAGCTCTGAGTTTAACACCATTGACGAATGGTATCCTTATGAGCATGGAGGAACAGCTTCGTGCTATATTTTGGAAACCATTAAGGGCATCGTCTGCAGATAATAAGGCATGTTCATCCACAGATAAACCAGAAGAATACCAAAATATTCGATTACCTGTTAGACACACAGGATAATGTTATTCCCTATTAATGCATACCCATTTGTGGATATAGCATAAGAAGGGATGGCACACCTTTCTATTTTATCGTTCTTTGCATAACCTGCGTGCCTTTGTTTTATATTCCAGCAAATGTTAGTGTTTTTTGTAATTAGATGACTGCACTTCCTCTGTAGGGTGGTTCAAAGTATGCAAAGGAAATGTATAGAAATGACGTGTTGCCTATCATTTCCTTTAAGAAAACACTAATTTGTCCGAGGGTACATTTTCACAGCTTTTGTCAACTCCAAGGACAATCTGCTTAACTGTATAATGTTCTTCTGTCATCATCCATAAGTTAAATTTAGTCACGATAAAGAATATGTTTTATCTTATCAGAGTGTGAGCTGCCCAGTGCTCAGATAATTATTAAAGTTAGAGCACACGGACTGCACAGTTCCACATCGCATCCATAAACTGTGCTGACGTGTATGGGTTCCCTCTAATTCACGCATGCGCACAGCACCAGACACGGTAGCTCAAGGCCCTCCCAAGTTAGCTAAAAACACATCGACCTTAGCCGGAAATGTAACTCTTGACCCTTCAGCATAAAAGCCCAATGTAATGTTTCATAGCCGATACATGGGTAACCAGCGGGTACATTTTGTTGCAATATACATTTAAAATCTGGATGTCTAGAGACCAGTACTATGTCTGTATCATTCACCGTGTAAGAACGTTTATTTGTCGTTAATTGTTTTATTTTGATATGTTTAAACGGAAACATTGAGTTTTTCCTCTTTTTCTCCCAATCGCGTAACCAACGTAGCGACCGGTACTTTGGGGGAGTTTGACGTGGCACTCTGCTTTAACTGAACGCGATAGACGGGGAACAGGACTCTGCCCTGTATTCAGGTAAATACCTTAGCGACAATGCTTGCACTTGAAGACAATACGAATGTGTCATTCTGTCTCTCGTTATTTTTTTTCATTTATGTCCGAAAAGAATTCCGCGTAAAGGGAAAACTTTGTGATAATTTCCGCGTAGCTAGCGGTCTGTTGCCCATCGATATGTGAGATTGATCAACGCCGCCGGCTGTGTTGCTATTCTGCCAGGCTACTGAGCTCCTTACGCGTTAAGCTAACGTTATAAATCTTACGCTAGTAATGTTAACACGGGTGACACCAATTTGCGTGTTCCGTTTATCCAGATGTTACGGTGAGAGGAGGCAGGGATGCTCGCGTCCATAGCGATCATAACGGTCTCTCGACGTGGCAGTTCTTCTCGGAAGTGGCAAGGCACGGTGCGGCTATGGACCGAACCACCAGCCGCGGTTATTTACGCCTCGTTCGGGTCAAACCTGTTCATTTGGTTCATTACGTCGTCGTTCAAAAGGCTTTCGCGGAGTTGCCCGTACGCAGCTGATATTTTTGTTGACACCAGCTGTGCGGAAGTTGAACTTATTTATTTATTTTTTTAAGGTTTGTGGTCGGTGGAAAAGTCCACGGTGGCAGGCGCGTTGCTTTTTAACGTTTTAACAGAAGGTCCGTTTGGCTTTTTTTTAATAGCCTCAATTACAGGCCCGCAGTGACGTTCATGTTTCCGGATTCCGAACATAAACGGTGCCTGTCTTATCTCTCAGTATGCAATGTCAAAGGTCCATGTTACATGATTGCGGATGATTCAATGAGGTCAATTATCAGCTGTTAGTCTGTGGCCTTTTAAATGGGCTAAATTCATCCACGTGAACACATGAATGACTTTATTTTATTCACACAATACCACTTTACAAGATTAATCGTGTAAGGTGAATGGGTCCCCCAAAGAAGCTAAAGAAAAGCTTATGTGCCACATCACAGCGTGGTTACCAATACAAAGGCTTACCTGTAAATGCACCTCTTTCAATTTGACAGGTCGTCAAAACTCATTCATCCTGGCATGAACAAGCAGTAGAATCCCACAAGAATGAGTCAACAGGGTTATGTTGCTGCACCCCCGTACTCCCAGGCCCAGCCCGGGATGGGGGGCTACCAAGGTGGATTTGGAGGCGGTCCTGCGCAGCCCCTCTACGGGCACTATGGGGGACCACCCCAGGCCTTCGCTGCTCCACCCGCGGGTAAGGAAATCATTTTAACACGACCTCCCTGACGCGATCGACTCGATCCGCTTTGCCCTGCTCACAGCCACCAGGCTTTCGGAGATGTAGTGTGCCGTTTTGGGCTTACCGCGGAAAAAAAGTAAAGTAAATATGAGCGCTAAAGTACTTTCTTTACAGACTTTTAGAAATGGCTCTTAACACAGTTTTTTAAACATTTGTCTGGTCTTTCATTCTATAATTGACACTCAATAAGGTGTATGTTAAGTGCCAGCAAATTAGTCAGATTAAAAGAATGTATTACACTACACTGAAGCATGCCCTGTTGTATGATTGAGGTACAAACACGATCCTCGACTCTCAGTAGTGCTGACACAGATCAAGGTCTTTTGAATGGGAGTCAAGGTCTCTTTCTTGGCAATAACGTTGCCACTTCGAGGTCCAATGGCATCACAGTAGACAGTAATGGAAGCAGGTTTCTATTCGGGACAACCAACTACCCACTTTTATTCCTTTAAATGATCACCCATCATTGATGACCAAAATCTGACCATCTACGCACCCTGTTCTCGCTTACATATTCACAGGTAAAAAGTCTGGAAATAAAAGTAGTCAAGTTCTTCCGATGCAGTGAAGACCGTGCAGATCTACTGTAAACATGTTTTTTTGTTCCTCATCACAGGTATGATGAAATCACCAGTTTCCTCTGCTGCCGGCATGCCTCCACCTCCAGCATCCAATCAGTACAACCCTAATGTCCAGCAGAATGGGGCACATCCACAAAGGTAACGCTTATCAGCAAACAGCATCTGTTTGGAAAGCTAATTTTCTCTCTGCTGTGTATGACGGATTGGTATGTTTTTTTTTTTAGATACCCTGCTCCGCAAGCTGCTTCTGTTTATGGACAACCTCTACAGTCCCCATACAACAGCATGGCTTCTATGGCCCCGCCTCCAGCGCAACAGCTAACAAATCAGATGAGTTCCATGAACTTGGGCAACTATGGTAAGTTGGCTGTTTAATGATTTTTACTTGTTATAGATCAAATAGCATTGAGTGGCATACAGAAAATCCAACAAAAATAGAGTAAAAATTCATAATAATAATAATTAGTATGTCTTAATCAAATTTAGTATTTAATTTATTTCAGTAGAGAGTATAAGAAAAGTATTAGAAAAATGACAGTAGGAGTGCCCTCACCAGATTTCTTGTTTCAATGTATGATGGTTCAGCACCAGGTCCCATGCAGAGCCCACCACCTCCAACAAGCTCTGTCCAGCAGCCTTTCCAAACTTCCCCTCCTCAAGCGATGGGCCAGCCACAGATGTCTCCAGGCCCGCAGTCACCTCACATGTCTCCCCAGATGTCACCACAACAGTCACCTATGTCAGGGCCACCAATGGGAGGGCCACCAATGGGAGGGCCACCAATGGGAGGGCCACCAATGGGAGGGCCACCAATGGGAGGGCCACCAATGGGAGGGCCACCAATGGGAGGGACACCAATGGGAGGGCCACAGATGACTGGACCTCCGATGGCAGGCATGGGGAGACCGTTCCCCGGGCCTCCTGGCCCTGGAGGTTTCCAGCAGCCTGGTCCTGGTGCTGCGGGACCACCAGGGTACCCACAGCAAGCAGGTAACCCTGACACTGTGAAGGAAAGAAAACAGTATTCTTGAAGGCATGTTACATCACCAGGATATTACAACATTTATGAGATTGTGTTACTAATTGGAAGCGACACCGATACATGGTCAGTTATTGACGTTGCACATAAGGTTCCGTGGTCAGAGAAACGACATGCTTGACAGAAAGAATGTAACAAAAGCCAAAGAGGAAATTTCATATTTTGAACCACGAAGAAAAAAATATATCCTTTTACAAAAGGTGTCTTTGATACTCAAATCTCCTTAGGTTGCAGTATGTCATAGAACTGTTTTGTGTGTTAAAAACTTTTGTAATACAGAAGAGTCTGGTAAGAGAGTAATCGATCTTTGTCCCTTTGATAGACAACGTGTTTTCATTGCTTATGTTGGAGCCGTCTGATCAAAACGTATTCTACAGCTTACATTTAGTCAACAAAACAACTAATGAATATCATTTAATTGGCAATATTTCCTTTTTTACTATATAGGTCAGTTTGGGGGAAACATGGCCGGGCACCAGCCAGGCATGCCGGGAGCCTTCCCTGGTGCACCAGGCGGAATGGCTGGACCCCCTCAGAAGAAACTGGACCCCGACTCTATCCCGAGCATTGTGAGTAGTCGACCACGTACAAATCACATAACCAACATACCACATTTCTGTCTTAGCTTTCTGGCAGTGTATTAATTATTCAAAAGTGGTTTGGCAAAGACATGTCTGTGTTCCCTTCTGATCGTGCTGTAATGCGGAACTTGTCTACTCTAGACCCAAGTCATCGAAGATGACCAAGTGAAACGAGGGGGACAGGTCTACAGCACAAACATCAGGGGACAGATTCCACCTCTGGTCACAACCGACTTCACAGTACAGGACCAAGGTGACTCTGACTGACATTTACACCTCTCTCCAGTCACAAAATACACTGAACATTTGTAGTCGATGCTAATCTGCTGGAAGTGTAGGTGATAATCCAATAATACCCGTTAACTGTTTTTTAAAGACACTTTACCATTACAATTTCTACATATTTGTCTATCAGTTGTTGTATGTACCTTACGAAGCCTTGTAGTTGTAGACATTGAATATTTCTGGTAATCACAGACATGGTGCCTAAAAGGTCCAAACATCTGTCCAACAGTGGTAACAGAAATCTGCACTGTCATAAAATGGATGTCAATGACCCATCTGTTTGCTTATCCCAGGCAATGCCAGTCCCAGGTTCATGCGCTGCACCACCTACTCCCTACCCTGCACCGCCGATCTGGCCAAACAATGCCAAGTGCCACTGGCCTCCATCATAAAACCTTTAGCAAATTTGCCAGAGAATGAGGTAAGTCATTTTTCAGCCATATCTTAATGGCAGTTGCTTTATCCGAAGCCAACTAACCTGAACAATACATAATCGTTTGCCAGGATAGACAAAAAAAGAGTAAATGACTGAATACATTTGTTGTGGCTTTGCTGTGAAATAGCATGTTTTCCTGGTGGGCTCTGAGTTGAAGTCTTGAATAATACATGCTAAACAATATCAGGGATTGAGAATTCCTTTTTTTTTTACGAGTCGGCACTCATCGAGCACTGGGTCCACAGTTCTTTTGATACTTATCCAGCTCTACATTATTACACATGTTTAATGTGTAATCCGTACTTTTCACATTTCCATGTAGACTTGCAAAAGTTAGAACAATCCTACCATAGAACAAATCTTTGTGCCCAAATTCTATAAATGGGAAACCCTGCATGCAACGCAATTCATCCCACACCAAAGAAATTATATTCCAACCGTGCAATAGGTTTTCTAAATCCTGTACACACTGTCAGTCACTCAGGAGTGTCTAATGACAGGGTTTTTCTCTAGGAATACATGATTATTGCTTTTCTAGTGTAGGATTTTGTCATATTCTTCTAATTGAGTCTCATTCAAATGTTAAAGCAAGCAGTTCCTAAAGCCCTAATTAAGGTATATAGTCTGTTTATGATTTACTTTTGTGCCATTTACTTGTAGGATTGATTATTTGCAACATCAACACAAGTATTGAAAAAAGTTAATTTGAGACCGTATTCAACCCCGAAACAGTCCTCTTTTGAAAGGATGCAGAAGTTAAGTTGTCCTGTGAATGACCTCTCTTGCATCACACAGGGTCCAACAATCCTCTCTAAAGATATTTCCCCCCTCCTTCGACCTTGTCCCAGCCATCCGCTGGCCTTTTTAGGCAATGTTAGCTCTCCCTCAATTAACTAATGTTGGATCTACAGGGACGGGATGTAAAACGATCACAGTGTTTTGCTCTCTACATCTAGTACACCATGGAGCAGATTCAAATCCAGAGTAAAACCTCATCAATGCTCTGAGTTCTTTGAGAGCGCTTTCTGACTCGGAAGCTTTATGCATTGTTTTCTCATCCACAGGTTTTGTCCTCAGCACAAAACAGCTGTGAGATAATGTAATAATAAGTTTGACTCTCGACCCTGAAGTATCCAGTCTAATAATACAACCACTCGCTACCTTGTCTGCAAGTGTTTTCTGGTAGTTGATTTCATTTGAAGCAAACCTTTTAGATTCAGCCGGCCAGGGGTCTCAAATAGTCATGAGACAGTTTCCATCTGGAGGCTACAGATGATAATCAGGAGCAGTGGTGTGATACGTATTTCAAACAGCTTCACGCTGAGCCTTTACATTCCACGTCAGACAAATGTTCCGTGTATCAAAGTGCAATGTGTGATTGTTTGGTTGCCATGGAACCACTGATGCTTGAGACAAAGCAGCAACTTACATTGGCTTTTTGACCATAATACCTTTTCTTTTTTGTGTCCCTGTGTAGACTCCACTATATGTTGTGAACCACGGTGAGACAGGACCGATCCGCTGCAATAGATGCAAGGCCTACATGTGTCCCTACATGCAGTTTATTGATGGGGGCCGTCGCTACCAGTGTGGTTTCTGCAACTGTGTCAATGAAGGTAGAGTACAGTGCAGACAAGGTTTTGAGCAGCCAGAAAAAATCTGTCACGTTCACTTCAAAAAGTTCTTACTGTGAATATACTGTGCACAGGTCTCTATTCAATCAGATTTCTTTGTGTTACCGCAGTGCCAGTCTTTTACTTCCAACATCTGGACCACATGGGCCGGAGGGTGGACTTCTACGAGAGGCCTGAGCTGTCCCTTGGATCCTATGAGTTTGTAGCCACCCTGGACTACTGCAAGGTACGGGGAAACTGCTAAAGAGCCACCAACCACTGTTCATTAAGGACTGCACAATTAATCAAACCTAATCGCGATCACAATTTTGGCTGCCACAGTTAAATGAGTATGATCGTCAGCGATATTCAAAATGTGAGCTCCGCTACATATCAAATCAACCTCAACTAACAGATGCACTGTGATGAGGACCCAGGTCGATGTGTACATTACCCAAAATGTAGCACAACAATGGATGTGGAAGAAGTGTTCTGTGCAATAAAATATGTTGTCCCTAAAATAAAGTAATGCATAGATAGATTTGAAAGGTTTGCAAAGTTGCATTATGGACTTCTGAGGGACTTTTCGTCACTCTACATCATTCAGCTCGAGTTGCTTATCATAACTTCTAATATGACGGTGTGCAACTCCGTTTTGAAAGCACTTGAAAGTCGGCGGTGCCAATTAACTTGATATCCACATGGAGGGTGTGGCTGGTGGTTGAGAACAGAGTGAGCTGGCAAAGCAGAGTCACTTCACTGGCCTACTTTTGCTCTGTTTGTTAAAACGTATAAACAGTATCTGCAAGGCAGCTATTAAACAAAAGCCTTTAAGGGGATTGTCTTGTCATGCGTCGTTACTGGGGAAACATAACAATGTCTCGCAGAGAACCCCGCTCACACGCACTCCATTATTTTTAATTGAACTGTCTCCTCACAGCTACTCAAAGTTGTGAGTGATATGTTATAGTTACGGACAGAGAGGACCAATATGTTTTTGATTAATTCATTAAGTTGAGAACCCTTTTTCTTCATTCACTTCTGTAATCGGGTCATTTACGCGGCATGCCTGTCATGCCATCTTAGCTTGAAATGATTTTCAAAATAGCAACTCATTTAGTTCACCTGCTGCCGTCTTCTCACACAGAACAACAAGCCTCCAAATCCTCCTGCCTACATCTTCATGATTGACGTGTCCTACAACAACATTAAAAGTGGACTGGTCAAACTGATATGTGACGAGCTGAAGAACCTACTGGAGCATCTGCCCAGGTACGTGCAATCCATCGGGAAACCCCACATAAACATGGGCACACACTGCAGGGAGGAATGTAATAACTAGCGTCTGCTCCATTAGGTGCTATGTAAAGTTCACATCCAACATATGGCTTGCAGCAAAAATAAAATCCTCAAAACAACATGCAAACTGTCTGTTTGCTGAATATTCCAGTTTTGCAGACACTGGTTATTTCTAAAATAAATAACTTTTTCTCTGTTTTAATTAGCGACAAAAGCAATACATTCTCAGTTGTCTGCTGTCATGATATCCTCCTTAAAATACCAAGTAGAAGTGTTCCCCAGATAAGTCCCCTCTTCAACGGTGTTTGAGACTTGAGCTCATGATAAGCTGGAGCACAGTTTGAGTAAATGCAGATGTAGATGTAGACATACTGTGGACTTTAATTTCACTGTCTGATGGTATGAAAAAGAACCAAATAAACTCACCCAATCTGAATGGGTTTTTCTTCCAAAAGAACCAGTAACTTATGTTCATAGAGACGCTTTTGGCCCATAATCAAATGTGGCGTATTTACTTCAAAGGCTTTTGCAGCGACTGTTTCGAGCCACATAATATGTTCCTCAGTGTGTCTCCACGATTTAAACAGAGAGACCTGCAAACCTCGTCTCGACTGTCATGAAAGAATGCTTTTAAACTACTGTGATGGTGAAAGCTTCTGATGTGTGGTTTCAGTTCAAGAAAGCTGCCACAGCCCGATCCACAATGTTCTGTTAAATGTCAGGGTGTCGTGAAGTTAGTAGTTATTCATTTATATGAGCTTTGGTTTCAATCATGCAGTTATTTCAAATAAAAGTATGTTTCCTATACCGTTTGCCAATATGTAACGTAGTTCTTTCCAAAAAAAAAAAAAAAACCCTACGGGAATTTATTTGGAAAACACAGGCATGAAAAACAAAGTATGGGTTTTGTAGTGATGTGAATGTAGAAGCAATTGCAACAGGACAGCCGCTCCTTTTACTCACATGCAGCTATTGCTAATGACATTCCACCTGACTCACTGGAAACATCTGGGAATTCACCGAGGTCTGTTCTCTCTCTCTCTCTCTCTCGCTCGCTCTTCCTTACAGCGAGGAAGGTGTGGAGGCATCTGCCATCAAGGTCGGCTTTGTCACTTACAACAAGGTCCTCCACTTCTACAACGTGAAGAGCGCTTTGGCCCAGCCACAGATGATGGTGGTTTCAGACACAGCTGAGATGTTTGTCCCGCTGCTCGATGGCTTCCTGGTCAACTATCAGGACTCGAGGGCGGTTATCTCCAAGTAAGACACAAAGGGTCATTTGCTTGTGGAAGCCCCATACATTAAATGAAGTTTAATCCAACTAAACAAAATAGTTTATTTTACGTCACTGGATGGTTTCATTTAGTTTCAAGTAGTATTCAGCATGTATTTCAAGAACAATCTCTTGCGAAGACATTTGTGTGCGTTTTACTTGGATAAATCTCAACCAGACATTTTCATGTGGGAACAATGTGACATGTAAATTTTGACCAAACCACAATCCCGTCTCCTCTACAGCCTCCTGGACCAAATCCCTGATATGTTTGCAGACACCAACGAGAGCGAAACCGTCTTTGTTCCGGTCATTCAGGCCGGCGTGGAGGCATTCAAGGTTAGCTGCCCATTTTAAAGCCACATTATATTAGCAGCCGTATGTAGCTCAGCTGAAGCACATAACTGTGTTTTTCTAGTAAAGTCAACCAATTATAAGCTAAACTAACAAACACTGCATCCAACTAAAGTAATCTCTTTTTTCACTTTCCCAAAACTATGTCAGAGGTAGTGCTTGCCCAACTCTATAAACTCAGTTACGTTCTTTTATTTACTCCTGATATGTTTGTGTTTACTTTCAAGTCCAAAAGAAATGTGTTTAGTAATATGAGGTCAGTGTTTGGCACACGGTGAAGGAAAAGCTCACTCACAGCTTTCAATTAGAAGCAGTTGTTGCAATAAACAAGAGCAAAGAGTTTGAGTCAGGCGTACATCTTTATCTTTTCCTTATCAGTTTATTTTGCAATCTGTTCTAAAAATGAAGTTTGTTATTAGGAGAATCCAATCCTCTGCAGAAGTGAATTTTGCACCCTGTGACCTCACGGTGTCATTGTAAAGCTATAAACAACACACACCTTCTTTTAATCTTCTTTTTGAGATCTCACCCATTATTCTCCGTCCTGCAGGCAGCAGAATGTAGCGGAAAGCTCTTCATCTTCCAGTCCTCCATGCCCACTGCCGAGGCTCCTGGCAAACTGAAGAACAGGGACGACAAAAAGCTGGTTAACACAGACAAAGAAAAAGTGAGTCTCTTTTTTTCTAAACATGGATTTCAAACACCAAGTACAGACAAACCGTACGGCTTAATCTCGGCTGCATGAGGAGTTGGTTGGATGCGAACTTTGAGAGACAAAAGCAGTCTCATCCAAATTAAATGTGTATCCTTAGACCCTGTTCCAGCCTCAGAAAGGAGTGTATGAGCAGTTGTCGAAGGAGTGCGTGGCACAGGGCTGCTGCGTGGATCTCTTCCTCTTTCCGAACCAGTACATGGACATCGCAACCATGGCCGATGTGCCGTCGCACACCGGAGGCTCAGTCTACAAATACAACAACTTCCAGGCAAGCGCACCTGTTCACAGTATGCTCGGGTCACTGAAAACACACGCACATGCAAAATATGCTGCAAGCCACATGAAGGAAAAGAACTGGTGTAAGTTTATTTATTGTCATTACACTAGCAAGACAGAAATGCTCATAAAAGCTGGTTTTAAGTCAGTGAGCCAAAAGTTTGTGTGGAAAAAAAACCAGGGTTTATTTTCATTGGTGTCGGACCAAGTGGTGACTGTCGCCATCTGCCGGCTCTCAATCTCAAATGTTCTCGATTTCGTCAGGTGGAGACCGACGGGGAGCATTTCCTGAGAGACCTCAGAAAAGACGTGCAGAAGAGCATCGGATTTGACGCAATCATGCGCGTTCGTACCAGCACAGGTGAGGAAAAGCCTCTGAAGGCTTCGCTTTCAGTACGTGCCAGCGTGTCAGGGAGAGAGCTGCCTCTCAATAACGGACACAACTGTGCGTGGCTTGCCCTCAGGTTTCAGAGCCACCGAGTTCTTTGGTGCCATCCATATGAACAACACCACGGACATAGAGATGGCGGCTGTGGACTGTGATAAGGCTTTAACCGTCGAGTTCAAGCACGACGACACGCTGAGTGAGGAGACGGGAGCACACATGCAGGTCTGTCTCTTCTTTTGAACTCCAAACAAATATTTGCCGTTTACTCAGGAGAAAAATTTCCAAGGTTTGGTCATGAGCTAATATTCGGACTCTGTTTCTCAGTGTGCCTTGCTGTACACCACCATCAACGGACAGAGACGTCTCCGCATCCACAACCTCAGTCTGAACTGCAGCTCGCAGTTGTCGGAGCTGTACAAGAGCTGCGAGACCGACTCACTCATCAATTTCTTTTCCAAATCAGGTGAATGCCTTTGAGCACTTGTCATTGACGCTTACAACTTCATTTGATCTTTATCTATCTTCTTTATCACAATAGCTTGATGCAGAAAAGGTGGCTTTTCCCTCCCGTGATTTACGAGCAGTTATTATTTAATGATGGGAGTCATACAATAGTCAGCTTTTCCCTGAGGGTGTCACGTTGCCTGATGATGTACTGCAGTATTAGCCTGACCTGTTGTTTTTACCCCATGTATCACTCGATAATCTAATAATGCTCACTGACTTATGGGTGGAAAAAAGAATGAGTAATGAAAACAAGCCCACGTTTCAGATAAAGCTCTCTTTCTCTACCCTAGCCCTAGATTTTCTAATCTTTCATCTTTTGTGGTTCCTTTGCCACCCTGTTTATCTTTAACTGCCAGTTAGGCCTGCTGGTTCCCACCCCCCTTCTCCTGGCTTTTAACTAACCTCTTCTTATGCACATGCAGCTTGCCGTGCCATATTGAATCAGCCTCTGAAGACTGTGCGGGAGATCCTGGTCAACCAGACAGCTCACATGCTGGCCTGCTACAGGAAGAACTGTGCCAGCCCCTCCGCTGCCAGCCAGGTCAGTGCGGGGCAGCAACTGGATTAAAAAGGGTTCAATCGAGGCTGCGATTTTCGGAATCAAAGAACTCTTTTGCATCCGTTTCATGTGATGCGTCCATCTCTTTTAGAAAGTAACCATGGTGTTTGTTATGCCTGTATCCACATGTAGCTGATCCTGCCTGATGCCATGAAGGTGTTTCCGGTCTACATTAACAGCCTAATGAAAACAGCTCCCCTGGTCGGCAGCACAGAGCTCTCAACAGACGACAGAGCCCACCAGAGGCTGTTGATCATGGGCATGGGGGTGGAGGAGACACAGCTGCTGCTCTACCCACGCCTCACCCCACTGGTACAGGGAGAAAAATACAACAGTGTCTTTTTATATAGACAATTCTCGTAAATGTAGTGTGTATTTATCTTTCAGACATGGTTTTAATTGTTTTTTGTAGCACAACATGGATGTTAGCATAAAGACTCATCCCGCTCCGGTGCGCTGCTCAGAGGAGCGTCTGACAGACTCTGGCATGTTCCTGCTGGAAAACGGCCACTCCATGTTTCTCTGGCTGGGTCAAGCGATCCCTCCAGATCTCGTCCAGAACATCTTCAACCTGCCCTCCCTTGCCCACCTGCAAGGAAACATGGTCAGAACTAAGTTATTACCATTCCCACCGCAACGTATTTTTGAAACCATATTGAAATGATGTAATTCTAGAGATATAATGCATTACAAACTGTGGAAGAATGTCTGGATGTTGGGTTGACATTACACGTTTACTTTTGAGACACCTCCCAACTCAAAAGGTTGAATTCATAACTTCTTGCATCTGACCTTTAATTTTAATGAACCTCTTTAAATATTGTTTTAAGTGCTCTCATTTTATTTAATCAAGGCTGCTTCAAATCAATACCTCCAAGAAAAGTTTTTTTGTTTTTTTTCCAGTGTGCGTTACCAGAGCTGGACAACCCGTTGTCAAACAAGGTACGAGCCATCATCAATGACCTGATTGAAAAGAGGCCAAATTCTATGAAGGTAAGCCACCCAGAGCAGCAACATAGTCCGATGTTCCAAAACAAAAATGTAATTAAAAATTACTTTTAATATGTTTCGCCAACTATCAAAAAAAAGGAAAGAAGTACTTTAACTGCCGTGAAGCATTTATTAATTCTCTGCCTCCCTCTAGTGGAGTTAGATCACTGATACAACCGCTCTGTTTTAATTTAAACCACTTAATCTAAGTATAATTCAAGAAAGGAGAAAACAAAAGGTCAATGCTCTCGTGGAGCACAGCTGGTATGGACAGGAAAAGGATCACACTTTGCTTACGTCCTCCCTCCCCCCCTCAGCTCCATATCGTGAGACAGAAGGACAAACCAGAGATGGTGTTCCGTCAGTTCCTGGTGGAGGACAAAGGCCTGCACGGTGGAGCTTCCTACATGGACTTCCTTTGCTACGTTCACCGAGAAATCAGGCAGCTGCTCACCTAACCAACACCACCCGCACCTCCCTCCCCGACGCTTGGCCTCGGTGTCTCTTATCCACCGGCCAGGAAGGAACACGCCATGGACAAACACCACAGGGTCAGTCTCCGTTGGCTCAATCTTAAGGATGATCCACAGAAAGAGAACCGTTTTTTGTGTTTCGTGTTTCTTGAAGACAGAGGAAGAAGGGAGGAACCAGAGAGAGCCTTTTTGAGATTTAACCTTGAGACTCCACAGCTGCCTTTCCAACATGCTTCGGTGTCCACACAGTATGATCTTCAAATAGCCACTTGTCACTCGAAGACAACGTAAGACATCGACAACACATTGTGTTGAGGCTGCATAGCATTCAGGGCAGTCAATCGGGTCTTACAGGCTCAGACAAGCGGTTATTTAGGGGCCATACTGTAGTTGTAGTCTTCTTACTCTATAAAAAGGCCAGTCTTTGTTATATTCTAAAAATTGTAATCTTTTTTTTTTTAAACTAGAAAGGCTCAAAGATATTTTACCATATTTAAATGACTTATAGAGGCTTCTACATTCATGTGCATCACACCTTTGCTGTCCTAGTCGAAATTGACTCAAATAAGCATAGATACAAGTAGTGTATCAGCTTATTCAATTGAGCAGAAACATTGCAGCAGCTGACAGGACTGAAATGATTATACTGATGCATACGTGATACAAAGCATTCCATTTGGTCAAACCTCCGATAAACAACTAATAAACAACTCCATTTATAGTAACGAGAATCTCCAGTGTGCAGTGGAAACAGAAAACATTTGTTTCCTTGTTCTGAGATTAGAATGAAGTGACAACAAAAACTGGAGTGCCCTGAACAGTTGAAAAGTGTCAGAATCGGATTTAAAAAAGGAGGCATAATGGGAAGGGACTAGAAATGATGCTGTGTGTGAAAGGGACCAAAAATTTAGTTGGGAGCGATTCACTTTGGGAAATACTTTCTAGCAAGCTCTAACAATGTCATGTTATTATGAAAAAAGGGCCCAGCTGACAAATCTCCCCATCAGATTTGTGTCTGCTCAATGAAATCGTGTTAAACTAATCTATTATCTGCATTATTGTCCGTAACGATACCTAATATTTCAGTTTTGTGTACAGCAATGGCATCGTGCCGCTTGTTTTTATTGAGAAAACTGCTCTGTGTAATTCATGTATGCATTTGATATGTTGTACGATTCTTTGTATGTGACTTAAAAAAAAAAGAAGTCCTTTTTGTACATCAAATACACAATGTGTTTTTCAAAATATTAACATCTGCCTTAATGATATGATAGTCAAACCATACACAAAAGAACATGTCTGAGATGTCTACGGCTGATTTCAATTATTTTGGTTTGTATGCAAACTTATCTCAGGTAATTTGGGTACCTCATTAAAGTCGAAAAAAGTGATTTCAAAATTAACTGAAAAGGTGGTCGGTTGTTTTTTTAGTACGAGTACCTACGGATCCCTATGGGTTTCATCCGTTATCTATATTTTATTCCAAACCCCAAACGTTCTTTTGGCTTGTACAGGAAATTCGACGGATTACGAATTTATCTTTAAGAACGTATTTGTCTAAATGTTGAATAGAAAACACACCAACCCGTTTGTTGCTTTAAACGAAAATATATTCAGTGCAAAATTGAATGGACATAATTCAATGCAAGCTAGAATTACGGTCTATATTGAAGGTAGCACTGATCAAAACGCACACATTCAGTCTGCCCATTGGTGGTCACAGTCCAATGAGTGAGACATCCGCTGTGCCGCATACAGATTGAAATGAAAGTATGTTCATATAGTTTCTTATTTCAAGGATCTTATTCTAGTCCAAGTGGAAACAAATATTTTTGTACCAGTGTGTGTCATCCAGTTACCACCACGAGGGGGCATCACATGCATTTCTGATTCTGAACGCGTGTTAATAAAACTACATCTTACCCTAATGCTGAACAGATACATATATATATATATATAAATGTCAGTATTTTAAATAGAACTCAGATATCTGAATAGGCAATACAAAGATTTGTTGCTCGCTGAATTTTGCTAGACTGGTTTGGATAGCCATGATTAAACATGAACTATTCTAAATTCGTTAAAATGTATTAAGTCATTTAATACAAATTTGAAAGTTTGAGGTGTATAGTTTTATTTTTGTTTGTATGTACAGAAGAAATGTAGAAATCAGTCAATGTTTTCAGTAACATATCTACATCCACTGGGATGTGTTGTAGATATGCTAAGATGTGGGTGATGCAAATATTTCTTTCCCTCCATTTTATCAGTAACGTTTTCATATTCAAAATGCTGAGAAAAAATAGTTGTTAATCATACAGAAAAGGTACATCTGTACATACAGTAAGGCACACAAACAAACCAAAGAAGAAACGCAACATTCCTAAAGGAGATAAACGAATCATTGACTAAACTAATGAATGCCCAGCATGCCTTGCTGAGGAGATTTTTTTAAATTTGCGACCTTACTCAATGAACACCGCATGAAAAAACATGATAACCTGTAGATTTTCTGCAAAATATTCACCATAAAACCACCCATTCTCAAGTGTATTTCAGTTTTCCAGCTGGTTTGATGAATACTTCCTGTATCCAAAATCCAAGTCATTGGGAAAAAGAAGTCTGATTAAAACACTCAGGAACTTACTTAAACAATGTCCCGACACGTCAGTGATCCAGTAGATTCCAACGAGCAACAGGAATCCCGTGAGCGAGGCTGGTACCCAGCATGCCTTGTGTTTTGATCACATTCAAAAGCTTTAATTACATACAGCAGGAACCAATCGGGGTGAATAGGCAGGACTTAAACACAGGGGATAAACAACGGGGAGAGTGATAGTAGACAACCCCCAAAAATATGAATATAATACAAAGTTACAGTGTTTGCATCATCTTTTTTTTTTTAAACTGACTTATATGAAGAAATCCAAAGACCTGAAATTCACCCCGGAGCAAACTTTCATTTAATACTGTACAACCAGCAATCTTTTGTACAATGACCGTAATACCATATAAATGACCTCAAACACTGCTCTTAGTGCAACCTCCTGAACAGGGTTTCAAAAACAACAATAAAACATTCATAGATGGTATACTTTACAGAGAATGTACATACACAGGGTGAAAGGAAATGCACTCAAAGCAGCAATTATTTTGCAACAAAAGATATCATCTAATGTTATACTCGTGGTAAATACAGCTACCGGTGTGCTTCTGCAGACCAACCTTGTGTTGTCTCAATGTAGTTGGCAAGTAAACAGGAAAAAAAAGTTGTAGAGTTTCTCATAGAGTTCTTCTGTAATACTTTATGATATATACAATTGAAAATAGTACAACGCATGTGTTTTTTTTTCCCCCTCTAAATGCTTCCTTGACAGAGCAACAGATCGGACCACAACGGTTGAGTGAGTCGCGGCGAGAACCCTCTGGAATCAAAGAGGCCAGTCGGGGATGTAAGATCAGAGAGGGGACCGAAGTCATTTCAAATGCTATATAAAGTCACAGTGATTTTACTTGGCCGTAAATAAAACAAGTCAGGGTTGCAACAGAGTGAGAGGCATCCTGTTTAAATGCCTTCATCACAAATCTCCCCAGAGTGTTTATAATATTGGAGGCTAATGCACTTTGCAGCACCCGGTGTTCAGCCAATAGAAAAGACACTCCAGAGACGAATGGTGGTAATCAACCTTTAAGTTAAGCAGTTTTTTCATTTTGAAAATGTTACTGAAGAACGCACTTTCTTTGCCTCTCCTTTCTATTCATTTTCACATGATAAAGTTCAACTATTTCTTTAACGAAATGTTCAAAAAGCAACTCGTTCCAGAGGGTTCGCCGCGTATCGCCGACTCCTAATGAACAATGTTACATCCATGATCAAAAGTCTGCGTCGCACACTGCACACGGTACCAGTCCAGGCTGTGCCAAGCTTAAGATGATCTTCTCTTCCAAAGCCTCCACAGTCAGCAGCAAAAGTTAGAGGACGTTTTCAAAGAGGTGCATTGATCGCATGATGTTTTCATCCTGCGCAGGAGAAACAACGTAGTGAGAAAACGCAAACGAGCCAACAGCAGCGACAGAGAGACGCGGCGGGGCGTCCGGCTTACGTTTTGGCAGCAGTCGATAAACTCGTCAATGGTTACCACTCCGTCTTTATTCTTGTCCATCTTCTGTTGGAGACGAGGGGAAGGACATGATGAAAAACAGTGTCACGGTTACTGCGACCGACATTTAAGCCGGCGAGTCACTTGCCTGAAAGAACACCTCTACATGCTGACGTGGCGTGTCTTCTTTGAGGATTGGGTACGTGCATTTTCCCATCATGTCGTAGATGGCCTTCATGATGTCCAGCATCTCCTGCAGCGCACCGGAAAAAGGGGTCAATCCACCGGGATGAAGTGCAAATTAATTCTGCATTTACCCCCAACTGGAAGCAATGCAAATATACTTGTGTTTCATATGCCTCACATTTGGAGCCAACGACGTCTGCAGTTACTCTGCTGCCTTTAATGTCAATGGACATTGTGGACCTCAAAGATTAATAAAACATCAACGCCGGACGCGGCTCTAGGGATGGTGATGGCTGTAAATCAGTCCTCAACCGCGGTCCAGGCTGATGAAATAAATATCTAGAATACTGTTTGATGGATGGCCATGCAGTTTTACCCATTTATAACCCGAGAGGATGAATCTCTGTGACTCTGTGAATTCTTCATATTTATTCTTGCAAATGTATGTTTCTTGAGTGAAATGTCTCCACGGCTATTGGATAGAGTTCAATTGAACATGGCATAAGCATCTTGGGATGAATGTAATGAAATTGATTGATCCCATCTTTCTTTTCTGGGGATTAGTTAAAAACATATAACCACACCACAGGCCTTTTGCATTTAGAGCTTATGACCTCATGCTAGCACTAACAAGTTACACCTAAATGCTCGGATCAACCAGTAGATACCTCTTTAGTAATGTATCCGTCTTTATTGATGTCATACAGGTTGAAAGCCCAGTTGAGTTTTTCCTGGATCGTGCCTCGCAGGAGGATAGACAGGCCCATGACGAAATCCTGCAGCAAGGACAAGATTCACTGAGAACCATATGAAATACACAGATTCAAAAACAAAAAAGATCTTTTTGTGAACAAAAACTTTAGAACGATTTGATTAAAGAAACATCATTCAGGAAAAATATTCACCGTGCACAGGATATGTATGCAGCATTTTAGCCAATGCAAGGACATTATGTCACATGTCAATTAAAATGAATCAAACACACCTCTCTATCCAAGTTATTAAGAGGGTCATAATCTGCGTCATACCTCGGGGAATCCCCGTACTTTCTAAATGAATAGACTGCACGTTGGCTCTGGTTTGGCATAACAGCTTTTCTGTCCTAATAAGCAAATTTATACCCGCCATGAATATTAATGATCCTCTCAACACGATATTAATCATGGCGTTGAGAACATCAAAAGTTGACAGGCTTGGGATGTTTTTCCAGTTAGTGGGGTTGCAGATTACATAATGCCACGTTTTAAAGCCTTTGAGATTTGCGGTGTCAAAGCCTGAATAACGTATAGTTTGTAGTTTTAGTTAGATGTCGTTTTGTAGAAAACTTTGGTGACGAACAAGAAAAGGAATATAAATACAACAATACTCGGCTTACCTCGAAACTCAAAGAGCCATTGTGATCTGTGTCGAAGGCATTGAACAGGAAATGTGCGTACGTTGAAGATTCTATGGAGAGAAAAAATTATATAAAAAAAAACGCCTCCCGTGATCACAGTTCAATCCACAACAGCAGACACGTGGTTGGTTCAAAGGAATGTTTTTAAGCTCTTTTGGACAACTTCACAATGTATATTCTGTCATGGTGAGAGTGGAGAGCAATAGGCTGAAGGCTCCGAGTTGTGTCATTACGACCCCTGTTCATTATATTTACTGGTATGCCTTTCCTCTAAACAGATATATCAAAGCCTCACAATGTTTTCTGTCCTGTTCCTCGGGAAGTAATCTGTGCATAATGATGAGAACGGTGAGAAACTCCAACCTGCATAAATACAAATTACTTTCTCCCTCCTGCAAATATTTCCTCTGGATGGAGGTTTCATTTGAAAGCACTCAGGAATTGGTGCAATTTTTCCAAACATTAGCAAGAGGCCATTTGCGTCAGTTTAATGCACATGAGGTGATAAGAAGCAGCAAAAACAAAGCAGGAGGCTCACATGACACAAACCTCCTTGCGGGAAGAACTGTGCGTAGATGTCTTTGAAGGTTTCTTCATTGACAATCCCGCTGGGGCATTCCTGAAAGACAGAGGCAAAGGCCGTTCAGCGCCAATAACGGGAAAGACTCAAATGTGAGTTAGGACGGGCCAATCACGGTCCAATATACAACTTAGACACCTGTGAAAATTGGAAATTGTTTATTCTAAATGTTTCTATCAGGGAGAGAAAGTAATGTTTGTACTTTTTCATGAAGAAAAAATTATGCCGTGAATCATTTTAAGAGACTAAACTCAAGCCAGCCGTGCAATGTGGCATTACCTCATTGATTTTTAAGTGACTTTATGTGACCCATAGTGGTTAGGGCAGCTCCATTCCTTTTCCTTCCCTAATGCAGAAGAGTGTAACAGTGTAATGAATTTAGAGGAGCAATATATTACTCTTTCAAGGAGACGTCATTGGATTTTCCCAGCAAACCGTGACCATTTCTCCCGACAGAACGTGATAGTCCCGTGTTCAATGTGCTGGTATTCATGCCGCAAATCCTCCAGGCCTCAAAAGATACCTTGACCCCGGTCATCCGGTGTCACCGACCTGAGGTATCCTGTGCCCGGGAGAAAAGACTAAACACTCCACCAAAGATGCTTTTGTCTGCGTGAAATGAAAAAAGCAAACCAAAGACTCGGTGGAGGACGTTGCTCGGGTCAGCGTGGTGAAAAAAGGCTGCTGGTTTTGCACTTTCTGCTTGACGTGAGGCTTCACACTGCTGCAGGATATTGAATCTTGGGAACAGAGGAAATGCTCCACCAACATAGACACTCCTCCACCAGGGAAGGCAAACATGTGTCTGGGTTTAATACGCCAGACAATAAACCTAGAATATAAGGGTTTGTTGTTGGAAATCTAAGATCAGGAACAGAGTGTTTATCAGAACAAACAGTTTCAGGTCTGGATTTAATGCGCTATTGGTCTCCATTTCACTGGAAAGAACACTGCTTTTGCTAATGTGAGTTCTCCATGAATCAGAAGTGTGTCTTCATCCTGTAGTTTCTGTGATCTAATGAGCTGTTCCTGTTAAATATATAGCAGTTAAATACTGCTTTGTTGCTCAGAATTGGACGTGAACGTTGATGCTCTGAGATAATTGGCTGCAAATTGGGGGTGAAATAATTCCTCCAGAAACAATATTTGTGGTGCCGTTAATCAACAGTACATTGATTGAAGTGTCAGCACAGTCCTTATTGGCTAGTTAAGCAGGGGTTACATTTGATTACATTATCAAGCATTCCGGCTCTATTCATTAAAAATGACTATTGTCCTTTTAAATTTATCATGATGTGTTCAAATGGCATTTGGAGAAACTTCCATAGAGTTGTTTGAATGATAATAGAAATGGATTGTGTAGCGCTTTTCACACTAACACAAAGAACATAAACCCACAATTCTGGTCTCCCATTAAAAGCAGTAGATGCTTTCACACCAATATGACATATATATCAGTGAGGGTATTACCACATCTTTAACTTTGTAACATTAGCTTCGAGCAGATTTTGAGCTCATTAGATATAATTAAAATGATCAACACCAAAATCGTTTTTTGATCAGTGCGAAAATGTAACGCAAACAATTATTTCCTAACCAATTGTACAGTGTATAAGGGTTCACCCTGACTTTAGTACAGCTGAATTTGTTTGTTTTCCTGAAGTTCCAGGGCCGTGTTAAATTATTTTGCATGTAGTATGAAAGCAATTAATTGTTCTAACTGGACTGGTTGTGTATTTGCTTTGCTTTAACCTGACAGATATGAGAGGGGTGTCGAAGCGAATACGAGTGTTTTCGTTTTCAGATGCCTCTTTTTTTAAAAGCAAAGTTGCTCCGCAGCATCTCGGTAACAAGAAGCATTTCTTGTTGTTGTTGTTCTGTAGAGCTTCTGGTAATTAGAATGTTGTTTATGATCCACAACACTGCAGTGAATAGGTTGTCAACAGTCAACCATTTTTTTCAAGTAATTAAGGAATCATAGTGGAGAGGAGGAGACTTTTCAAACATGTAATTTCTTGTCACTGTGTGTGTGTGTGTGTGTGTTTGTGTGTGTGTGTGTGTGTGTGTGTGCTTGTGCTTAAACACAGATGGGTAATTGCATCTGTCAACACTAATAACATTGTTCAAGTGGGACACTAATGTACCAACGGCTTCTAACCTGGAAAGTCATCCTCACTGACCCGAAGGAGAATCAATGGTCACTAAAATTGTGATTTTTGGATTTATACTTTCACAACTTATCGCCTCTTTTCAGCCTTGTGATGAGATGGGGGGAGGGAGGCAGATTTCCATTAGGAATAAAGCCAGTGTGTTATCTGGTCATCAACACCACTGAGCTCCTGCAGTTCAATTTGAAGTTCAGTAAGATGGTTCCACTCGATCAATGCCTGAAATACATGAAGGGTGGACTTGGCTAAAAGTAAAGAGCTCATTAATACCGTTCCTCTACATGTCAATAATATTGAACTCTTCACAAAACGGTTTCCTTTTAATTCAGTGAGGCAGATGAATACGTTGCATATTAAGGACATTATACTATGTGGAAACCTGGACCATTGGAGGTCAAGCTAGCTTTTGTATTGAAGCAGTGATTCCTCAACTCAAACTCAAACCTGTAAATGGGTTTACCTCTAAATGAAACTGAAATGATAGGGGGTAAAACCCTATTGGAATAATTCCAGTGGTGTGTTGTGTCCAATTATAACCAATTGGCGTACAATTCTTTCTCCTTGCATGTTGCTGCATTAAACATAGCTTTCATTTACAATTTTACTAGACGGAGTGAGAGGTCAGAATATGTAATTTGTCATTTGATATACTTGTAAAATTTGCCCAGCCGTGATGATTAAATAACAAACACAATCTCTGAAATGCAAAAACCGGCCAAGCATTAAATTCCTTCACGAGTTACGTAACGGCTTGTGGCAATAACAATGCTGGGATTGAAATGAAGCGGTGAACACAGGCGTCATCACAGATGGAATGGAAACGGGGAGATCTTTATCTAATTCCCAAGGCAGTGCCTTAGGGGCCGCATGTGAGGACAATATTGTCTTATTTCCTCCGGTCTGAGGTAAAGGGATTTGAGAAAAGATGGATTCTCTCATATCTTTAAGGTGACCTTTGCTGAAATTCCTCCTGAAGACAGACCCAGTGATGGAGCTTATTTTAGGCCCCACTAGACACATTGTTGGAGCAAAGATAAACTTTGTTTTCAGGACAAATAACCTCATCCTGCCACTCACGGGCATCGGACTAGCTTCAAAACCGTGGACAACAAGACAAAGACATTTTCTAATCACTGGAAACCCGGCCAGCTTCTATTCGTCTGGCTGGCCATAAAAGCTCTCCAGGTCGGTGCACGACAGGGAGGAGCCTTTTGACCCTGAGCTACACCGCAGACTGATGGACAAAAGCTGCCAAGACTCTCTCTCTCTCTCTGTCATATTTGGACTGCTGCCCAAAAACATCTTTCTAAAATTACACAGCAGCCAGTGTTTCCCCTACGAATGAACAAGGGCGGCGCTAGTCCAAGTCCCCCCCCGCAACCGACCCCAAGCAAGTCTGGAATTTTATTTTCACGTCTACGCCCGGCAGTGCCGCCGCAACACATGCGCACGCTGCCCGCCGTTGACAGAGTGCTGCTGAGGATGATGTAATAAGATTGTCAGTCAGTTAGAGTCTGTTTGACTTGCTGGTGGAGCTGAATAGAAAACTAAGGTTTGATCAAAGTCAATAGGAACAACGATCACTGTACCACTGCCCATAATCGTGTGTCTTTCGACTGAGTCCGTCTTTCTCAGAAATCACTCCCCTCCAACTCTTTTGCAGTAATTGCTCAGAAAGTCCCTGTGTCCCTCTCCCTCTTTCTCAGAAATCACATGGGAAATCACACAGAGTGGAAAACCCCTTTCTGTACATGTCTGTATTTCTGTACATGCCTGTATTGATTTATTGTCTTCATGCATATGAAAACCCTCGGCACCATTCCGGGGGCAGTTTGCTTGTTTTGGTCCTTCTACGCAGAAGTCTATTAAATATACAAAGTCTCCGCTTATTCGGTCAAACGTCCTCGATAGGATTCATCCTCTGGGTACCATGAAAGTCTGTATTGGAGTCTATCTGATGAACTGAAGTGGCCCAACCAACCAACCAGCCGCCAGCATGGCTAAACATGTGCAGTATGTCTTTCCCTGAAGGTTACAGGGCTGAGTCGAGCCGGGCTGAGTGTGCGGCACAAATTAAAAGCCTCATTAGTACACTTCTTACCTCTTAGCTGGGTCTCAAGTGGACTAATGGGTAGGCTTTGCAGGGACTTGGCACGCAGCACAGTGCAGGCTGAACAGAAAACTGATGCCCCATGGGAACTCCTTTATCACAGGACGCTTGTTTTTTTTTCTCTCTCTCTCTCTCTCTCGCTCTCTTTCATTGCCAGACAATTCACATTGAGTCAATTATGGGTCATCTCATTACGCCTCCCACCAGAGGTGACAATAAAGCGATATGGGATGCTCTGGGCGACTTCGACCTGATTGCTCATCAGTAATCTCGGGGAATATGTTGGAAGGTGTGAAGTAATTATCCTTAGCACAGTGGACAATGTACAGACACTTCAACTCAGTCTGTGGTGAGCTCGACTGGACATGATAACATTAAGTGCAGGATGTAGAAGACTCAGCTAAAATATAATTCATCAGAGGCCTGATTATAATTTATTGCCATGCAAGCAGAGGGGACGTTGAATACTGATGAGAGCAAGAAGGAACTGGAGCTGTCGAAAACGCCCAACACCCATTAGACTATGAAAAATAATAATCCAAATAAAACCACTGTTTTTTTATGCCAAAGAAAGAAATGTTCAAGGGGGAGCAAAGCGCACTGAGGGTGCACGGTGGCCCCATCACTCACATTTTTGAAGCCGCGGTAAAGGATCTGAAGCTCCTTGCGGGAGAACCGTGTCCGAGCCTCGAGCTGCTCCAGTCCCTCGGGGCGATGGCGAACCGTAGACAGCTCGAGCTCATCTTCAACGCTGTCTGGAGATCAGGAGAAAAGCCAGGTGTGAGTAAATGCTGGTGCTTTTTTTACCCCCGACATTTTGGCATGAATTGGTGACAAATTCGGCAAAACTATGACAATAAAACGAAACCGTGAAATTGATTCCATTTGGAAGGCCATTTCGTCTTTTAATTTGCAAATGTTGCCAAACCGGCCGTTTCTTCTCAACGCCAAATTCAATAGCCGAGACAATTAGTGTTATTTCTTCCCCATGAACAACAAAGTCCTTATGGCATCGAGCCTCTTCATGAACCCTGTGAAACTTTTTAATGGGTGTGTAACGATGGCAGATGCTGTCGGGGCCCTGCACTACCCTCGCAGCGTCTGACGCAGGGCCTCTCATATACCTCAAATGTCTAAATACCTAATTAGCTCAAAGGATGCTATTGTGGTTCACGAAAAGGCTGTGCCTTCTAACCAACCACAATTAACCCGCTGCTGTGGAGCTACTGCTCTCTATTCATGGGTGATGTTAACAAATATATTAATGGGGGTAAAAAGAGCTCTGGTCTTAGTATCATTGTCAAATTAGTCCAGAATTATTAAGCACAAGGTGGCGTAATTATTAGTATTGTATGTTGTAAATAAAAAAATTAAAAAAAATACAAAGATAAACATTACCAGAGAAAAGGTTTGGGCAGAGTACATGGTTTAATCTGTTTATAAATGCCACATCAAATCACACGTTCAACATCCTTCTTTTTTACTTTTTCAAATGTAATGCTAAAATATTTTGAGTGAATATGAAAGCTGAGCATAGTATGCGTGACTCGAGCATATATTGAGGGTGTGTGTCCCATGACCTGATAAAACAGAGGGAAATCACACAGAGGGACAGAGAGCCTTTGAGGAGCCACTTGCTTTGATTATTGGATGATGGCTTTTTGGCTGTGCAGAATGGAAGTAGTCTCATGAGTCGAGCCCTCAACCCGCACTTGTGGAAAATCTGAGGGTAACCTGGGAAATACAGCATTTGGTCGGACGGGTACGTCAGCAACTTACAGCCTCAGCACATTCGAGGAAACTGGACATGGAAGTAGAGAGACCCAGTTACTTTGTACCTTTGCATCTTCCAACAGTGGAAAAAATATGAGCAGCTGGTATTTTTCTGACATTTAAATGTTGATGCAGTCAGATGAACACAAGTTAGAGAGGAGTTGGCGCTCTACATGTAAAGCAGCAGCACACGTTCAAGGAAGGCTTCCTAAATGTGGCATCGCTGCAAGTCACGAGCGACTAGTTCACTGGGTTACATCACTTATTAACAAGTCTTTTTGAACAGTGTCGGTCATTAGCGGGAAAAGGGCGGCACCGGAATATAATTTGGGAGCCTGTGACCTAAAGCCTGGCTGTAATATGACTTTGGTGCGAGGATTAATGGCAGTGGTTGGTATCATAGTAGTGGGGCGAACAGTTCGGCCAACGCGGGAGGTAGTTTGGGTCCTATACTGGGACATAGGTTGTTAGTGTGTGTAGTTCAGTCCATGTGAAGTACGAGTTGTGCACCTAGAACATGTCAAAAATACTGTAACTACATCGATAAATCTATAGACTTACAGAACTCCTAGGGGCCTAATAAGGAAAAAGTACCTTGAGCTAAATGGTTGTGTAAGCCTACTAACATGCGCACAATGACCACGTGAACGCGCTGATGTTGAGCAGGTACAACGTTTACCACGGTAACCGTTAACGAGTCTTATAATTACATGACATCCTTTTCAGTCTTTACTTATCCTGTTTATATATTATTTATAAAAGGTATTATAGTGATGTAGGAGCTTGACCAAACTTGACCTAAAGCAGGATTTCAAACACTTTACACGCACTATTTCAGCGAGCTGGCAAAGAACGGAGAGAAAGGTTGCACGACGGAAAATGGAAATACCACATGGTCCGAATCCTTCTCTGTGCCGAGTTGAACACCGCACAGATACTAAGCAGATGGCTAAAAGCTGTTGGCTCAGATTAGGCTCAATGTACACAATAACTAACAATATGGCGCACAACAGAGCCCTCATAAAAGAGAGATGTTGATTTTGGCAAGTCATGCTGTCTGCTTAAAACCTGTTTATATTGCCCTTTAAATGACACAATAACTTTGACATTTAGATGATGATACAAAGTGAAGCCCCCATCTGCTGTTGTTACCTCGCTGTTACCCACCTTCCTTCCCGAGTGAGGAGGATACGTCCCGAGGGAATTTACTGAGGTCGAACTAGATACAGAGATGGGCAGTATGTCTATTACTTGTATTTGAGATACAAATTTCAATTACTTTTGAGAATTTTGTAATTTGGATTTGATTGGACGGATAATGAATCTAATGTGATTTATAACAAATTACTTTAGAATGCAGTAATTTGGGATTTAAAATACTCAAAATGCTTTCTCCATGAATCAGTTCAGTCTCTTAACGGACTGTCTGTCAAGGTAAATTTTAATATGAGTGTGACAGATGTCAACTAGCTTGATGTATAATTTATGTTTGGGTCTGGCTACATAGTCTATTGTAGGCCTATACATGGTTATGATGTCAACATAGCAATCAATGCTAGCACGCTGTCTAGGCTAGTGTTAAGCTAGTTATAGGAAGAGGGAAAGTGGGTCCTTGTATGTTCATGGTAACCTTATCAAGAGACGTCTGATCACTTTTGTATCGATTTACTGTTGATCTTTAATTTTTATTAATTTGTTTGTGCAGTGATTTAATTTGAGTTACCTGTGTACAACTGGTTTTAATTCTATACTTTTCGTCTAAAGTGTACATAGGCCTAATGTGTGATGAATACTTTCTTGTTGATACAAAGTCCATTAATGAATCATTCATTTTCTGTCACCAGTATTTTGTATTTTATTTTGTCCATCTAAATTTCGATGGACTTTTTGTCCATCTCTGGCTAGATATGTTGGTCTCGACTGTAAGCTTCCTGTATTAGGAAGCCTTTCTGTACAACAATATTTATTGAACTTTGTGCAAACGTTTGGACCAATAGAGCAAACAATCCATAAACAATCTATAATACAATTGAAAGACTGTCTGTCTGCTGGTGAAACCTGAATGAATGTGAAGGAAATAGAACAACTCTCTCTAAAGTGGAATAAAGCAGATTGTGAGTGACACAGCGCTTAATCGGGCAGGAAAAGAGCATGCAGTGATGGCTGTCTGATTAATGTTTGCCCTTTCAGTATATTGACAAAATGGCTCAGACGCTGACGCGAGTGTGGGGTAATAGAGAGCGGCACATGCTGTGCTCTGGAAACCTTACCACACAAAAGAAAAAACAATAGCCATTTTGCGATAATAAAATGTTGTTGTCCTGAGGAATAAAGTATATCGAGCAATAAAGAATTTTATCCTGGGGAGACTAAACATTTCACTAATTCAGTTATCAATACTTTTGCCTTCCTTAAAAGAAAAAGCCTTCAGCAGCTTGTTGGGTTCCTGCTGCTTTAGAAGCAGGTTGCAGCTGTCAGGAATGAAATTCATAGACACCACTGAGTAAACTAGCAGCCATCGCTATTTAGCCTGCAGCAATTAAAGAGGATGAGTTTGTATGACTTCAAGGGTAATAAACAGGGTAATCAGCAAAAAATTGAGTAATTAGTAGTAATTACCTTTTAGTAATTAGTAGTTAAAAACTGCTTCTAATGACTAAAGCTATATATATATATATAGTCTAATATTTAGAATAGTTATAGTCTTCATCATTGAGCAAAGTTGCAAAAATACTGAAAAATGAAATTGACTATTGTAGGATATTAGAAATAAACTGACGACCCGGTTCATAAAATTAATAAAATGCATATAGTGTAGCCATGATTCTGAAACTGTGTAATCAATAAAGTAATGACAATATTGTAAAACCACTGTAATTCTGCAACTGTAATAGAATAAAACCAATGTAGTTATGATTGTATTTGATGTAATGTCATCAACCCGAATGTATGCATGTAATACCTGAACAACAACTGATATTGACTAAGGGTCATTACATTGAACTCACCAGAAGACCACTCCCAGAGGTGTGGACACTAAAAAGGCTGGCGCATGCTTCTGCGTCTGCGTCGTTGGGTCGACGCACTTGTTTCAATTCATGGTTCTGCGTGTGTTGCAGAGCAATTCTCCGCCAGAACAACAGGCGGAGTGACGTGTTTTTGTTGAAGACGACCTAGAGAGTCACGTCTATTTATGTATTTGTTTATTTATTTATCATAGACTTTATTGCCCCGTGCATCGACACATCTGTCCCGTATTTTCCTCCACAACTTTGTGCACCTCTCGACCGGCAAACCGGCGATCTCCCTCCGTGAATCCAACCCGCTTCTACAACCCGCCAATGACGGCTTGCATAAGCGCTCATATTTACGCATTTCTTCCATAATATGATGTTCTTTTTACCACAACACCATCTCTTTTATTAAATTAATTTGATTTTAACCTTTTGATCAGCGATGACCTCTGTCCATTCGGCGTTTCTTCATTTTTGAATACAACTCTATACAGTATATAACCCACCGAAATAAGTCTGTACAGATCAGTTGTAGTTCAACCACCACACTCCTTCAATATTTGTAACTCAATATTTATCCCAAAGGTAAAACCTGTCAGGCCCCTTAAAATCAACTGGATACGTGAACCGAAAATGAGTGGCTGAAAAAGCTTTGGCAAATCTGTATCGTGTGGTAACTGCAACGCGTTCAGCTGACCACAAATTGCTGCTCGATATTAATAAAGCTGAGGTCAATTTGTGTGCTGAAGCGCGCAGTTTGATGAACTGTGCTGCTGAGCTGGCATTTTCTTTGTGTTGGTAGGAGGATGTATCGACAGTGCTACGCAAAGGCAAATGTTAGCCCGGAGGTCCACATGGAATGGATTCATGTAATACAGTATTAAGTGCAAAAGTCCCCTTACGCTCTGTGAGATTAAATAAAACTATTAATTGGATACGTGATGGGGGAACTCTAGGTTTAATCTGTG